CAAAACTACTTTGCATATGTTTTATGATCGTCACTATATGGTTGAAGTAGTACCGATTTGACGCTACATATTTCCTAACTCACTCTTAACTCAAATACCATTATGTATATCGATTGAACAGTTAACGATTATCCTTGGGGTATCTTGGGGATTCCAGGATACGTTAGGTCCCAAGCAATCTGTGCTGGTCGTACGAGTTGACTTGGACAGTTGCTCATAATATCAACCACAAGATTGTCTTGTCCAGACTCAATTATTTAAAGACCGCGTCATAAGGCTGGAATAAAGCCGAGTGCGGCTTTAAACAACAAACAAACAAACAAACACAATATGACCAAGATTCGATTGTTCTCAGGCCGCTTAGCGCCGATTCATTGTGATTTTTACATGGAACAAAGAACAACAAACCCAAGGTTCACGCTGATACAACTGAAATACGATTCACAAGATAACTTGCAAATTAAACAACCTCTTTTCGCACTGAAGGAAACTACACCGTCTTCGTCCCGGTAGACGCGGCGTTTAAGGTGCTTCCCGAGCAGATGATTACGCGGCTGTATCAGAAGGAGAACTTGCCCGAGTTGACGGATCTGGTCAAGTATCACATCGTGCCGTACACTGGGAACATGCACTGGACAGGGGAGAAAGTCAACACCCTGGCGTCAAAACCTGTACGCATGGTCACCTACCCCCACAACCAGGTCCGTCGCTGTAACATGGCGTCCTCAGTGTCTAACTGGTTTTGTTTCCCTTTCTCGAATTTGTTTGTTTGTTGTTGGGTTTCCGTTTGTTTGTAATTTACTTCATCTTTGCATTTTATGTTTAATGTTGAAAAGTCTGCCATTTGTTTTGCGTGCAGCTGACTGTTGTCAACGGCGTCGTCCTCAAGGAATCCAACCTGAGCGTCTCCAACGGACATATATATCTGCTGAGCGCTACCCTCTATGCTCCTAGTGGTGACATTGTCCAAAGCCTTCAGCAGGATTCCAAGTACTCCATGTTTCTCACTGCTGTCGCCTTGTCAGGAATGACGAGCAAACTTAAAGGTTTGAATAACCCCTCATTGGTTTTATCTGAAGCTATGGCACTGTGGAAAACGCTGAATAATAATTATCAAAGCAGATATGTCGGTGTTAAATAGCTAAATACCATACGTTGACTTCATACGAAGCGTTCAAGTACACAGGTAACCGTTGTTGACCAGTGTCATAATACGCTCCACTAAGTACAAAGGTTTACGATTTACATTGATATGATACACTGGGTTCAAGACACCATGTTAACATTAATGTTAGGGTTACGGTCGGAGTCCATTTGCTCAATTTCATTTTGTTATGCCATATGTCAGTTCAATTTAAATATTTATTTGGTGAATGGAAAATTGACAAACGTTTTCTCTACAGAAGACAACATCACTGTCCTTGCTCCTCCTGATGACGCATTTCTTAAAATGAATAAAACTAGAACGGATGCTTTGTTTAACAACATACCCCTGCTACGAGGTAAGTGATGCTTTGTTCAACACCATTCCCCTGTTACGAGGTGAGTGGTGCATTCGCCATCATTATTCGAATGCTACGAGGTGAGAAATGCCGTCTTCAACACCAACCCATTGCGACGAGGTCATGCTTTCTTCCACAACATTTCCATGCTACGAGGTAGGTGATGCTTTTACAACTGAACATGCTCTTTCTTCGAAAATGTCAAAGAGCGTCATACTCTTGCTGAAAGGTTTTTGATCAAGGTTATAGCAATCAAGGCGTCAGTAAGAAAAGTGGATGACATAATCAAATTTAACGGATCTGTGCCAAATATGATCTCCGATGCAATTCCCTAGTTTGATTGTACCATATGTTCGAAATCCAATTGGTGATGCTTGGACGTTTTTGAACTTTTGTCCATCGTTCAGCGCACGTCTCTCCCCGAGAGGGCGGCGAGGTGGTTGCTGATTTGGATTGAGACCGTGTTGCCGTACACAGCCAGATTCCGGATTATGAGGAGTTCCTTCCCTTGGCGACTATTATAGCGGTAGAGTGCTTTGGTCATGACAGTCTTGCTCAGAAGGTTTACTTTGAGGTCACACACGGATTAGGGCAACAGGCCAATATATCAGGCCACCTGTAAGGTAATTATGGCGACAGTCAGTCTCACTATTATTACCCACTTGGTTTCGGGTCTTTGTGAAGAGCGGCCATTTGTTTCTTTTCCACGTGGTCGGCGTGAATTGTCGAATGTCTATGGGAGACATTGTGGAATTTGAATAAACCTGTGTGTGCTGAGATTCCTCTCTTGTGCAGTTTATTTGGTGATATATTATTGGAAATTTAAGGTGGGTTTGAAACAATCACTGCCACGCACCGTATGCTCTGGTATCGTCAAGAGATAATACACCGTAAGGCTTCTTCGAGTAAACAATTGACTTGCTTTGGCATGTGTTTGGGGCAGGTTGCGTTAACCTTTGGGCGAACAACTGGTATCACTATGTGATAATGATTCATGGACGCATGCATATGAAATCGTCGGAATTGTACAATCGACTCGAGATTTGGTATGAATATGGAAATGATATTGTCGCTTTATTCAACAACCGTCCAAAGCTACGAGGTGGTGGTGCTTTCTTTCAACATGCCCTTGCTACAGGATGACTGATGCTTTCTTCAACAATATTCCCTGCTACAATATGGGTGGTGCTTTCTTCAACAATATTACCATGCTACAAGGTGAGTGATGCTTTCTTCAACAATATTCCCATGCTACAAGGTGAGTGATGCTTTCTTCAACAATATTCCCATGCTACAAGGTGAGTGATGCTTTCTTCAACAATATTCCCATGCTACAAGGTGAGTGATGCTTTCTTCAACAATATTCCCATGCTACAAGGTGAGTGATGCTTTCTTCAACAATATTCCCATGCTACAAGGTGAATGATGCTTTCTTCAACAATATTCCCATGCTACAAGGTGAGAGATGCTTTCCTCAACAACATGTAGTTGCTACGAGGTAAGTGATACGTAATTTAGAAACATGCCCCAGCTTCAAGGTAAGTGAAGTATTCTTCACAACACTGACAAATGTCTACACTCACATGAACTATGAATTCTGTTTTGTTCCTTCTCAAAAAGTAAATTTTTGTCATTAAAACATATGAAGGTGTTTTCCAATCCCCCGTCACTGACGTATTTATTCGCCGAACAATCTACTCCCAGCATTGGTGGAATTCCACATCCTGCCAGGCGTCTACTACAGTTATGGCTGGTATGCCAAAGAGAAAATCCACGATGACAACCCAAAATATGACATTACCTACACTGTCCACGAATACGGCAAGTTTTAACTTCTTTATTTCACTGCTAGAACAAATGCCCAGTGGAGTTACATTCTAAAGCCATCAGTCAAGGGTTTGCCTCAGTCTGCAATACATCTTAAATTTTCATACTGATTATGAGCGGTTTCCCTGCTCTAGCCCCGACCATACCTTGTACACCGAAATGATATGTACTTGATGGAGCAATAGTTTTTTCTCAACATTTCCTTTATAGTCTTTCTAAAGAACTGCCATGAGTCCGCGTGTTCATGAACACAAGCAGACAAATACAAGTGTCTCGTGAATAGTGCTCCCGTGTATGATTGAACTGTTCGAGTAAACAGCATCTTTCACTGTCCACTTAAGGTCCACTAACTCTCGAGGTACATGCAGCTCGAGCGAAACATTTGTATAGAGGGTGTTGGTTGGGGTACAGTGTCGAGAAATACCTCTCCACGTGTCTCAAATGACAAACACCCATTTGACCAAAGCCAACGACAGTGCTCTGAAGCGATGATATTGGTACTCCCATGTAAGATGAGATATCTGTAGTGGCCTCAATAGAACTTTCAGTGCTCATGTTATAAGTGGCTTGATAGTTAACACTCGCCCACTCAACCACCAACTCACTCACTCAATCTTAACAGGTCACTATCAGTTCACGATTACACCATTTGATGGAAGCGTCTGGAACAAGGATTGGCTTGCAACTAATGACGTCATTCATTCCATCAGTGGAGTGAAGTATACATGGCCGTTCATGGGAGATCTTAACAAGATAATCGGCTAAAACCAAGGTTCGAGACAACATACTAAATAAAGATAAGTTGATGTTAACTACCGTATATTTGTCATTTGTACGGAGATAATCCCTATCGGTGTAAGAGCTGCTGGGGCTTCGGTCCTGCATGCTTCAAGCATACCATTATTCGAGTGAGTGAGTGAGTATGGTTTAACGCCGCTTTTAGCAATATTCCAGCAATATCACGGCGGGGGACACCAGAAATGGGTTTCACACATTGTACCCATGTCGGGAATCGAACCCGGGTCTTCGGCGTGACGAGCGAACGCTTTAACCACTGGGCTACCCGACCGCCCCACCATTATTCGAAGCATACCTCTGAACACACTGCGGTGAATGGTCATGTGGTGGTGACACCATGCGAATCTGTTCATTCTGCTTCCGGAATCAACAGATTCGAGTGATTTCTCGGACGAACCATTTTATGGTTCATATATTATTTGTCTATAGTTTTGCAAAATGACCAAAAATGCGTTCATTTTATTTGTTTTAAAAATGCAGGTTTAGAACGTCCAGTGAATTCCTTGTTCAACTTAACTGCAAGAACAATAGCATGACGTCATCGTACTGATTTAAGCGTAAGGATGGGATGACAATGAGATTGTAAAACATTTGTCCTCGCAAGATGAAAAGGATTCACAAAATATGGTGATTAATGAAGATGACTGCATGTGTGCTGATACTTATAACGTGGAAGGGGCATGGGTGGCCCAGTCGTCTAAGGCGCCGCGACTCGCTGTGCAGATTTGCGTCCCTTGGGCACGCCAGAAACCTATGATTGTGGGTTCGAATCCAGGTTCGCCCCGATTATGTTTCTAGGTTTGTCAGCACCATACCTGTGCTCGTGGGTTTCACCGAAGTGGTAAACGTCTTAGACCTGCATCACTTCGGACTTCCGCTGCGATATAACTGGAATACTGTTAAAAGCGGCGTTAAACCCAACTCACTCACTCACTCACTTATAACTTGGAAAGCAAGCCAGGTGATGAGGTGCATTTAATTTACTTACAGTAATGACACAATTTGCAAACAATGCTTTTCAAGAAATATCCATTTTGCTGGCGATAAACACCATCACTGAGTTTTTGATCAAATGGTTATATGAACGGTAAGGGTCGGCTGTCAGGTGATTGCGAGCGGCTTTTTTTTGCAGTGTGTGAACTGAAAGACAAAACTCGTGTAGATGTTGTATTGACCTAGTTCTAGGTGCACGCACTGCCAAATATGACCGCTTGCAGTCACCCAACTGTCGACCTAAGTCAATGTCGCGTCCAAGATTATTGCACTTATACAGCGATGTGCATGTACGCGTGTGTGGCTGCTTGTTCTAGTTCGGACTTAAGCCGATATTATAGTGCTAGCCTAATGAGATACCATAGCGCAGTTTATCATGATTATCCCACTCAGACACAGTATACTGACTCCGAGCCGACCAGTCCTTGTTTAAGCCCTTGAATGCCGAGCGCCAGGCAGGGTAACAACAAGTACCATATTTTAACATGACGCGGCCGGGGATCGAACCCCGGACCTTCTGCTCTCCGGGCGAACGCTATACTACTAGACAACAGAGACGGTCAACCTGGCTTGTAACAAAACGTAATCAAACCTCCCATGGGGAGATAGGAATGGGGTGTTTGGAACATAATCCGTATAGAGAGATTAGTATGTGTACTTGGGACATATACTACCCCGAACGGGGCGACAGGGTGATTATAACGGCGTGTCAGGTCATTGTGGAAGGAAAGCCCAAAGTGATGAAGGTTTAAGCCACTTACCACTTCGAAATCTGTAACACGAATATGGTGCTGGCTGGCTGGCCAATGGTCATTATCATGGTGAATCTTGGATTGAACCCACTATCAGAGGATTCTGAAATGCCGAAGAGGCACATCTCTGCACAGCGAATGGCGGTGCCTTGGGTCCCCCTGAGTAGATTAGTCCTGGCCATATATCCTGATGTACGAGGTGAGCTACAGTAATCTGCTATCAGTCAGAGCCAATACATCTGGCATATTATCAGGAGCCGATAGACACGGTGGGAGGAAGATAACAACGCACATGTTTTTCATGGAGTTATCATCTTTTATCACTTAAGTGGTTATCTTCTGAGATTAAACTCCCAACCATAAAACAAGGAGTGCTGAAAACTTGCACATGTGGACGAATCACTTCTTTAAGACCTCGTGTCAAGTAAAAAAAAATTCAGTACGAAAAGAAAAGTTAATGGGTGTACTTGCTCTCCAAATAAAACTGTTGTCCGTGTGCCTTGTGCTGTTGGCATGGACGTCCGCCGGAGATGGGAGAACTGTGATTGACACCCTCAGCTCAAGGGTCGACTTCATCACCTTCACTAACTTTCTGAGACGGGTTGGTCTTGACAAGGATCTCACTACGGGTTTGTTGCAATATATTTTGATAGTCTGAGGACGCGCTTTTTAAGAAAATGAACCAAGATACTTCGTCAAATTTGAATGGGAAGTAAATTTGGATTCAAGTTTTATCATTTTAAGTGGAGTCATTACAAGCTTTACAAACTGAGACGCCATGACGTTTGTGATGTATTCATGTTTTCAGTTTATTATATATTTCTAATAATGGATCAACCGATATCCACATTGCACACATTGTGTACCTGTATCATGTTGTTAAAACATGCACTATAAACTGAACTTGTTTCTAAAAGAGTTAACTGAACTTAATAGAACTAAAATGTGCAACAGAACACACTTGTACTTGTATTGTTCAGTATACCATATCATTTAGTCATTTAATCAAGCATTAAATATCCTCATGTCAAGGTCAGTATATGGTCCTGGTGCCAAGTGACGCGGCGTTCGAAGTCCTACCAGACAGCTTCATGACCAGCCTGCATGACAAGCACCATAAAAGGCAGCTGATGAACATCCTCAAGTACCACATCATCCCCTACACCGGCCACCTCAACAAACACTGGACAGGACAAACCATCAACACACTCGCATCTAAGCCAGTGCGACTTGTCACCTATGTTCACAATAAGGTATGTGTGTTGGGTTAATGTTATATATTACCTTTCCCCCAAGAAAAATCATTTTTGGCATACTTAAAACACATTCAATTTAAAGAAATATCATCGACAAAATCTTATGTATCTCTGACATTTGGCAATTTTTGGGGTACAATTTTATTTTATTCGTATTACATTTGGCATTTTATGCAAGAGTGGAGTGGGGTTTCTTGGCATAATTATTGTTCCCGAGCTTAAATAGGTCTTTTTTCAAAATATCAAAGATCAAATTAAGAGAACAAATTAATGGTTTAACCATTTATGAATCAACGCATACATGTACGTCAAAACACTTGTGTCTCGTTTCAAATAATCTTTAAAACTACACAATTAAGAAAATAAATGAATGAAATGAATTGCTTAAATCTAATTAAAATTAGGACGTCCTTTTCTTGCGAAGATACATTTGTCCAACGACAATATGTCTTTGAAAACCTGCCGCAAAATGATTTTTATCATACCACACGGGCACGCGCACGCGCACACACTCACACCCAACCCATTTTTATTTTTATTTTTTGGACCAACATTTAGTTAATATGTTTTGAGAGGCTATTAGTTTCCTTACTACATTTCTCGTTGCCACAGGTCAGTGTTGTGAATGGCGTCATCATGAAGGAGTCAAATGTATCCGCATCTAATGGTCACATATACGTCATCGATGAGGTTCTAATTCCACCATCACAAAACATCTACCTTGATCTGGAGGGAGACGCACGTTTCTCCTCTTTTGTTACAGCTGTCAACCTTGCCGGCATGAGGGATCGGTTGAAAGGTGGTACCAGATATATACCAGTCAATACCTGCTAGGGATCTTCGCTTATAGTGGCAGGTCTGAACATCTGTAGGCGAAAGTGACTGATTTTTTAAAGACTCCGGTAAACCTCAGAAGAAGTCTCGTTAACATTATGTTTAGGCTCAAATCACAGATTTGTGATATTCCTATTTCGTATGGAGGGTCACTGTTACCGTATTAGTCATTTTACACCAACTGTCTGGAACATGGCTGAAGTCCCTTCGTATTCTTTGTAAATCCCAATCGTCAGAGCCATGAAACGGAATATTTTAGAATATCATTTTTTGTGTAATGTTACTTATTGTGTTTATTGAGTGAAGTTTTTGTATTTATGACTGAAGTTATTGTAGGTATTGCTGAAATCTTGTATCCGGGAAGCTTAATCGTTTATCGCACAATATGTACAAAAATGTCAAAGCATCTGTACGAGTAAACAGGTATGTGATAACATATATTTAGGGCAGAAATAGCCGTTAGACAAGGCTGCATATTGTCACCTGTTCTATTTCTATTGAATATTGAAGAATTTGTTAAAGAAATCATCTCGAACGACGGTAGAGGAATCTTATTGACGGACACCATTAATGATCTTTGAATACTGTTGTTTGGCGACGATGTCGCTATCTTAGCTGACTTTATTATGTTATTACAAGAAATGAGAAATGGACCATTAATGGAAACGCCATAGAGATAATCTCAAACTACAATTTTTTAGGCATTATCTTTTTAAGCGGAAATATGTTTATAAAGGCACGGGAGACACTAACTTTATATGCAAGCGAGAAACCTTTGCTTGTTATTAAGCGGTTTATTAGAAAATATAATGTTAAAAGACCTCCCACTTAATCAGCATTTAAATTTATTTGATTTGGAAATTCAGCCAATCCTATTACGGCTCGGAGCTCTGGGGTTTGAAGTTTCATTATTTCATTGAAAGAGTTCATTCAAAATTCTGCAAGCTTGTACTAAATATAAGTTATAAAAGTCTTCGAACAAAGTTACAGATCAAGCTGACACGCCCTGATGTACCAGAAATATTGTTCAAAATTCACTCACCCGCTCACTCACTCACTCACTCACTCACTCACTAATTGGTGGAGACTCAACAATGACAGTGAAATTCATTTTTGGAAGTATATACATGCTTGTACATATGCCTTTATGTTGCAGAGGACAACATTACAGTCCTAGCACCAACCAACGATGCCTTTCAACAACTGGAACATTCTAAGACAGACGTTTTGTACAACAGCCATGCAATACTACAAGGTAGGAACACACCTTAAACATACAACCTATTTTTATGAATTCCTAATGCTTACCACGAGTAACATACACACAATTATGAGAGTCGTTTTCTTGATTTCTTTGTGAACTTGTCAAACACGTGGTGGACTTTAAGAGCAAATGGGAATTAAAGATTTTACAGATACTATAGTAAACAAGAATGTTTTTTTAGCCATTGTTTGTTGACAATTCACAATGTAGTCTTTGTTCTTAGTCCTATTATTTGTAAACTCTTCTAATTATTGACAACTGGCATAGAATTCCTGGTTCCAATAAAGCTAAGTACCACATGAACCATCTCCTATATATAAAGATCGTATTGTCCTCCTCAGTAATAGTAATGAAGATTGTTATTAAAGCACTCATGGAAATGAAAAAAACCTGTTTGCTGGATTTAATAGTCGACACAAAGCATTACGTAGATGTAAATACGAAATAACAAAACAACTGGACAAGTACTAGTCTGGATTTGCTAGTTTTATCTCAGTGCTCAATACAAAATGTACTTTACAGGAGGTAATTTGTAGGCACTTTCAACATTAAAAAATAAAACTAAGTCCAAATTGACATGGCAGAAACAGGCTATAGGCATTATGCAAATTAGCCTGGAAAAAAGTTATCAAAACAAGAATAAAAATAACAGCTATGTTTATGTACATAATAATAATGACATGTAAGTTGTTGTTTGAGAAGGGAATATGTTACTTTTACGTTCTGATATTTTGACGATGATTCACTATCCCACAATGCCACTCACAAATCACTAACCACTGACAAATCACATGCACGTGGGTTTCAAGCACCTGTTTTCACCTGTCGTCAAGGTGTCATAGGTCATGAACATTCACCTTGATCTACTAACACCTGGTTATGCTCAGTTTCACAATAGTCTATTTTGTTTATATTTTTACACACTTTTACGTGTAAAAAGACATAAAAACCTTTGATACGCTGTATTTGTGCCAAGGCCCAATTAGTACTAATTGAGTTGTTTGAATATTTATATATTGTGTATATTAACTGCATTTATTTAAAATCTGAGATCGAAAAAACAGTTTTTTTTCATTTCCGTGAGTACTTTTTTTAACAGAAGCGCTGACTTCCGTTTTACTATAGGCTTCGTCGAGTTCTACATCCTCCCTGGTTCATTCTTCACGCACGGTTTCTACATGCACGAACAACTCAACATGACACACGCCTACGACCTTGTGCTCAACATTCGTCTCGATCGTAAGGATAATTCTATGACGCATTCCACATTTTTTATAATGCAGCAACATGTTTTCTTTCCTCTTTTAATGCAGCGTTTTCACCCAAAAGTTTGAGAGTTATCATAAACCGTTGGGTGGCTCGTATTAGCTGTTTTGCGTCACGTGAACTCTCTTATTGGAACTGTCTCGCTTAGCTGCCCGGATCCGCTGAATGTGGTTCGAATCCTAAATGATTATCAAATGTCACCTCATACGTCACCATCATACGTTTAATTAATTTCGTCAATGAGAGACATTTATCTGGGTTTTCCATAGAAAATATAACGAAATCACTATTCATTTAAACGATGTAATTTGCTTTGGACGATAATTCACTGGGTTTTACGTCGCTTTCCAGCCGTATTCCATATAACGTACGGCAAGGGACACCAGAAATTGGCTTCATACATTGAACCCATGTCGGAATCAAACCCGGCTTCGGGCGTGAATAGCGAACGCGTTGTGCCATTTGCCTGAAACACGGTCCTTATTGCATTCGTGCAGAAACGAAAGATAGGGAAATCTCTATTTGACGACCTCCTACATATTGATACGTTCCGCACTGGTTGACACTGACGAACTGAACGAAGATACGCAAACATTCGTCATGAGGATTGTCTTGAATATAAGATGCACCTGTAAAATCTTCCGAGTCGTTTCAGTTTACACAGCCACGGCCAGTATTCGGTATCGTTGTTCCTTTCATATACATTCCAAATCAAATGCTTATGAAGACAAGAGGTGTTTAAACATCGAAGCTAGGAGGACCACGCTTTCTAGAGCCTCCCCTACATCACCGACCCGTGAAGATTCCGGGCTAGAATAGGTCTTCAGCAACCCATGCTTGCCGTAAAAGGTGACTATGCTTGTCGTAAAAGGAAACGGGATCGGGTGGTCAGGCTAGCTGACTTGGTTGATGCATGCCATCGACTCAAATTGCGTGGATCGATGCTCATTATATCAATCACTGGATTGTCTGGTCCAGACTCGATTATTTTACAGACCGCCGTCATATAGCTGGAATATTGCTGAGTGCGGCGTTAAACAAAAATCCAACCAACCTACTACACCATCCCTTTCCCTTTGACCAAATGGTTATACACGAACGATCAATCTAAATATTAAATTATATTATTTTCATAACGATTATGAAAACAAAATTGGTTCGCACACAACGTGATTTGTTTGGGCGTACTATACACTAAAGGTAAACTATGCATTACTTTTACGTTATATGGTTACTGTTTGTGGGTGATATTATGAGCGACGTACCACGCCTTCACTGACACGCAGTATCCTGTGGATTCCGGGTTAGGAATGGTCCCAAGCAGCCTGTGGTGGTCGTAAGAGACTCCCATATGGATTAGTGGTCAGAGTCGTCGGTGGCTTAGTTGATTGCGTGTCATCTTACCCCGACGGCGTTGATCGTTGCTGATAATACCAATCACTGGGTAAAATAGGTCTTCAGCAACCCCTGCTTGCCGTAAAAAGCGACTATGCTTGTCGTAAGAGGCGACTAACGGTTGATGCAGTCATCGAATCCCAATTGCGTGGATCGATGCTCATGAAATCAATCACTGGATTGTCGAGCCCAGACTCGATTATTTACTGACCGACGTCATATAGCTGGAATAATTCCGAGTGTGGCTTCAAACAAAGAAACAAACAATTGCCTGATCGATACCCGCTTACGACAAGCATGGTCTACCGGGGACCTATTTCGAGCTTAATCAAGTTATATGATATAAATTGGGTTGATCTTACAGATTAACAATATCCTTTACATTTCAGATAGACAAATGGTGCACTTTAATCCTGGCTTCGCCAATGTGATTCAGCCGGATTGGCTGGCTACGAATGGCGTCATCCACGTCATAGATCACATGATTCTCCCACATTGGTTTAAAAATCACGTGCTCATTGGTTGATACAACAATGTAGAAACAACAAAATAAAAAAAATTATCATTATGTTTGCTGTACTTCATACAAGCGTTTTCTATCTCACAATATATAATTCAAGAACTTGAAAAAAGTGTTAGATAATTTCCATATTTCGTTAAGAGAACACTGTTATGTACAAAAGGAAGTTTGAGAATTCCATATTTCGAATCATGTGATTTTGTCCCCAGTTCCTCGTCAGTCCGGAAAGGCTGCAAACACGACACACTCACATTCTCACGTGAGACTTGAAACCTTCACGAGGGTAGATAAGTTACCCAGTAGAAAATATTAATGGCGATGAACGCGGCAGGAAAAAGAAATCGAGACACTTTGTCTATTTTACTGACACTGTTCAGTCCCAGTGCATTCCGAACATGCTTGTTGAACTTTCTGTTCCTCTTGTCCAGAATGCACTTGCCCCATTTTGTAAGGCATTGTAAACACCTGTTGCAGCCGCCTTCTGTGAATATACCGCCCCCTGCAGTTGTGGAAGTAGTGAGATAACTCTCTTCAAGCTGAAATCAAAAAGTTGATTGGTTGGTTGGTTGGTTGTTTAACACCGCACTCAGCAATATTCCAGCTATATGACGGCGGTCTGTAAAAAATCGAGTCTGGACCAGACAATCCAGTGATTATAATAATGAGCATCGATCCACGAAATTGGGATCGATGACATACATCAACCAAGTCAGCTAGCCTGACCTTTTACGACAAGCACAGTCGCCTTTTACGGCAAGCATGGGTTGCTTAAGACCTATTCTAACCCGGAATCTTCACGGGTGAAAACAAAAAGTACATACATAGTGTATTGACTTTTAAACCATTTTAACAGTTTTCCATTTTTGTCGAATCTGCTTTTGTATGGAATATGTTCTTACTCTTCAGTAATAAAATAGTGATTATTTGCTGTTTTAATTTAGAACTATACCATGAAGCAGACTGATTAATCATCTCATTTCCAGCACTCATGTTGCTTTTGTATGAAGACATTTGATTTGTTTTGCGCTAATAGACCTTTTATGGTCTAAGTCGCACCAAAACCCAAATACCATACCGTATTAAAACAAAGTAATTCTCTGAGTAAGAGGGGCGGGCAAGGAAGCAGTGCTACTAAAATGAATACATAGAATCAAAATACAGCAGAGCCATAGGCATGATCTTCCATTGTGAGAGAACATGAAGAATATACTTTTATAATAGCGAGTTGGGTTTAACGTCGATTTGAACAGTATTCCAGTTATATCACGGTGTGGTAGCTTTATGTGGGAGAAAAGGCAGAAGTGATGCAGGTGTAAGACGTTTACCACTTTGGTGAACGCCACGAGAACGGGTATGGTGGTGGCAAACCTAGACATTATCGGGGCGAAAAAACAATCATAGGGTTCAGGCGTGGACAAGGGACGCAACTCTGCACTGTAGGTTGGACGACTCGGCCATCTCTGTCCCCTAGAGTTTTGAACACAAAATTGTTTCCCTCGTTCTACTCAAGGTTATTGAAATTACGGCGATAAACAACAACATGATATCGAAAACTCCTCATTTGTGAACAATAATACGATATGCGTATAACGCTGTACACAACCAAAAGAAGCACATGTTCTATTAGGTGTTTGTGGTTCATCATATAAGTCTACCATTTCTTCATCAGAGAGACCTGGGATTTGCTTTCTTCACACCGTAAATAGTTTCATGCGCAAATTGCACTTTCCCAGGAGAAATATAATATAGGAAACGGGCGCGGTTCGTACTGGGTTCGTACATTTTGTACAAACACGTGTCAAATACATACTTGTGTTCCATAGACAGTTCTGGTTATGATTGCAATATACATTTTGAAATATCATTAAAACACTTACACGTCTCCAGCCGTGCCCTTCGAGATATAAATCTAAGCGTCACGACCATGTTGCAATAGAGTAGTTACGGTGTATAATTGTGTTCATAAAATATTTTTAACTAGATGGTAATAATGTTTTCAAACCATTTTAGGATCACCATTTCAAAACATTATAACATTGATTATATTCTTTTCATGAAGATGCTTTCAAAACAGCATAACACAATGTTTCTGAAACATTTCTGGAACCATACAAATTCACGTGAATAAAACATTTTAACAAACATTTCCAAAATGTTTTGCAAAAACATTTTATGAACGTTGAAATCAAATGTTTAAAAAAAAGCTGCTAAAACATTTCTGGAACCATATAATATCACGTAAATAAAACATTATTTAAAAACATTTCTGGAATATTTTACAACATTTTAGAAACGTTATAATCAAATGTTTAAAAAAATGTTTCTAAAACATTTCTGGAACTATACAAAATCACGTGAATAAAACGTTTTAACAAACACTTCCAAAATGGTTTGCAAAAACATTTTATGAACGTTAAAATCAAATGTTTAAAAAAATGTTGCGAAAACATTTCTGGAACCATACAAAATCACGTGAATAAAACATTATTTAAAAACATTTCTGGAATATTTTACAATAACAGTTTAGAAACGTTATAATCAAATGTTTCCGGAAAATGTTTCTTAAACGTATTTGGAAACATACAAATTCACGTGATTAAAACATTTTTTTCAACATTTCCAGAACATTCCGTGAAATGTTTTGGGAATGTTTTTATAACATTTTCGTGTTAGCTGGGAAGGCTGTCTCTTCCCTGACACGCATTCACGCTGTATCAACTATATATACTATATTTACTCTCTTTATCTTCCCCTCCCTCCTTCCTTTATTTCTCACTCAATCCTTCTTACTCTTTCTCCTTAACTCACTCTTATCCATTGTCCGCTCCTACCTCACCCACTGTGTGTCTCACCCCCATCACTAATTCAAATCCTATTGTCTAAGGCCCCTATAGTTAACTGTGCATCCCTTATACCATCGTGGCTTCGGCTTGCCTAGATTATGTTATTCTTTTATCAGTACCATAACCGAGCTCTCACCTCCCCCTCGCTGTCGTCGCTCATCATCTCCCGATCGTCGGTGCTGTATTTTGTGAAGTAGTGGACAGCGGCGAACTGGACAATGGACGCCATGACAAACAGGAAGCACATGACGACGTAGATGTCCAGTGCTGTGTAGTAGGCCACGTGGGGGAGGTCGTCTCGGTTCTCCAGTGCAAGGAAGGTCATGGTCAGTATGGTGGTCGTGCCTGCAGCAACAGTACCGGGTTAGAGAGTGGACATGTCTGCCTCCCTCGAACAAATTGTATGGAAACCAGCCTATGAATTTGTTTTCTATTGTGAGCGACACACACACACACACGCACGCACGCACGCACGCACGCACGCACACACACACACATATGGTGGGACATGTTGTCAGTACACAATGCTCTTCAACAACACGATGAGCTGACATTTGGCTTATCCTAGCGAGAATGGTTTATTGTGTAGAAAGGAGATGTGCACAATCAATAAACATTTCTTTCTTTTGGAACGTCCGTAGTGAGGAAGTCTACGAGTGGGAGGCTGAAAAGTTCTGAGCCCAACTATGATTGACTGCGTTTATGGATTATTCTTCGGAGTTCGGAGGATGTTCAATGAGTTCCAAGCCATGGCGACAACAGACTAAGCAACACACCGCGACTTTAAGCCTTGATATTCTCACACGGGTGCCTAAGCATAACATAAGCTATTATTGGTAGGACCTTTCGGGGGGGGGGGATACTCAACCAGAAGGATTCCTTTCCATTGGATTCCCTGAAAAACAGGCACCATCACCTTCCCAGATGATGGAACAAACTTGGCCTTCTTCGTTAGATGTTTCCACTGCTTTGCCTGATGTTTACTCTCTAGTTGATGGTGGTGATCCACTGATTCATCCACGTTACAAATCGCACACCAAAATCAGTTTGGTCTGCTTCACAACGACGTAAATCTGGAGCATCAACCTGGAACATTTCGGAGTCCAAAGCACTGGAACTCAGCGAGCTGAAACCTTTGTCGTGTCCAATTCACCGGTCAGACTGATATAGGCCATGTGGAGTGTGGTGAATCGTCGATAATCCATAATCATATCATATGTGTTTTGTAATCATTCTCCTTAATGGTGGCAGTTGTAGGCCTTCAAGGTCTTGGATCGTATTCGTGGCTCCCTCGTAACAGCGGCAGTTCATCCCTCAACATTGACACCATGATCAGCTGGAGGTACTTGATGATATCGGGTTAGCCAATCCTGTCCATTTTCATCAACATAGAATATTTGATGCCTGGCTGTGTATGTAAGCATGCGACGTATTGTACTATACATCCTTTGTAGTTGGGTTCAGAACTTTTCCGCCACTCCTCGTATGTAGAAATATGGGTTCAACGACATCCGCGTCGATATATCTGAATGTCATGATCAATCCGAATATAATCTCTGACATGTTTATTGGAGCAACGTGTAAGGTAAACACATCGTTAGCAACTCTGTTTTATCGCGGTAATTTGGTTTATTATACCGCGGCCACTTATATGATGAACTACATATTATGCACAATATGTGCAAGGACGAACGATGTAAGTGTACATTGAAACTCAGAGTAGGTACATGAAACAATCAAGTCCCTGTTATATAGCAGTTCAAGTCATATATCATTGCAGAGCAATACCTTTTCAGTGTTAGTCTTAGAAAATTTAGTGTAGCACTTGCAAGATTCCGATGTTCATCACACGATCTTTTACTTGAAAAAGGTAGATATCAAAATATTCCGAGAGAAAATAAGACTGTCCACTATGTGACCTAGGATTCATTGAGGACGAGTATCACTTTTTACTAGTATGCCCTCATTATGATGAACTAAGAAAAGTATATTTACCAAAATATTTTCATGTAAACCATTGTACATTTAAGTTTAAACTGTTAATGACCACTAGCAACATTAAAACCATAAGAAATCTTTCTATGTACATATATCATGATTTTATACAAAGAAAACAAGTTTGGAAATTATATGATTGTACCAATTGCTCCTGTAATCATGATTGTACTATAGGCCTGTGGCCCCCTCAGTACGTTGAATAAAGAAATTGAAATTGAAACAATCAACTTTAAACTCAACAAAGCAAACCTGACAAACAAAACTTTTCAATTCACTTAGAATATCGACCTTAGAATGAAATGGAATTTTCCAAATATAAAACAATACGAAAACGAACGTTATCAATGCTCACATTTACTGCATAATGTGCTATTCACCTGACATCAAAGGCGTAACTCGATCATGATATCTTTAGAAATCTTCACGATTTACACAAATCTATTGCTAATGGGCGCGAGTTTCTGTTTGATACCTTAAAAGAATCCGAAAATAGCCAAACCAACGGAAATCTGAAGCTTCCACACTGGTGTATTACTAGGTTTCCTATAACATCGAGGAACACTTTAACTGTATAACAAAGTTCAATACGACATGATAGACAAATCACGTGAAATAACCATACTGCGCTCTCAGACGTCAGATCAATTAACGGTCGGGTATTTCCGGAATCGCATGAAACTCGAGTGAGGTTGTTTCACCTTTTCACTCCAAAAATAATAGTTTCATAATCTATTCAGTGGATTTAATAGTGTCCTTTAGGTCTGTGAGTGAGTGAGTGAGTTTTTACACCGCTTTTAGCAATATACCAGAAATGGGCTTCAAGCATAAACACGAGGTGAATTGAGCACACTTCTTCGGCAGAACGACCAAACGCTTTCATGACTTGGCTACCAAGTAAAGCATGAGAGACCCGCGGATGAATGCCTGACCTTCTCGTGAAACATATTCTGTTACTTGTGTATTACGTGACAGCACATACAATGAGCCCGGCGACGGCTAACCGGATGAGCACGTCCCGTGTATCATCAACACTGTAAGGAGACGTCTTTTACCGAGAGCGATTCTGTCGGACGTAGCCTCTCTGTTGATCCAGAAGGAGACCCAGGATAACACGACCAGGAGGCAGCAGGGCACGTACACCTGGATGAGGAAGTAGCCGGTGTGACGTCGCATGTGGAAGAACACCGTCAGGATGGAGTGTACAGCTGCAACAGAGACACCCGGTTATCAGTGCACCTGGTGATGGATCCATTAGAATGGGTAATAGATGGCACACACACCCCTGAATTTCATCCCAAGAGTGGTAACGCCGCAGTCATATTCCACATATTTAACGGTGGATAAAAGCAAGTAATACGAGTCTATGCCAGACAAACCAGTGACTGAGAGTATGAGTAACGAATCGATTCATAAGGGTGCGATGGAAAGCTAACATGGAAGACCCTGACCGCCAGATTCCGTTTTTCAATTGTCTCTTAATCAGGACAAGGATGAGTGAGTGAGTGAGTTGGGTTTAACGCCGCTTTCAACAGTATCGCGGCGTGTCAGCTTAATATGGGAGGAAAGCCCGAAGTGATGTAGGTCTCAGACGTTTACTACTTCGGCGAAATCCACGAACACGGGTATGGTGCTTTCAAACCAAGAAACATAATCGGGGCGAACCTACAATCATAGGTATCTGGCGTGCCCAAGGGACGCAACTCTGCACAGCGAACTGCGGCGCTTTGACGACTGGGCCACCCGTGCTCCCAGGACAAGGATGAGGTACTAGGACCTATTCTGAGATTCTAGAAACTAGGTTTAATTGATCGGTACGTATCATCCACCATTACTCCCATATAACAATCTCAAGCCTAGTGGTTAAAGCGTTCGCTCGTCACGCCGAAAACCGAGTTCGATGCCCAACACGGGTACAATGTGCGAAGCCCATTTCGGGTGTCTCCTGCCATGATGTTGCTGGAATATTGCTCAAAGCTGCGTAAAACCATACTCACTCACTCACTCAAACCAGTGCCTGAGAGCTGACCAATGAATCTAGTCATCTAACAAAGGAGACCCTGACAGATTCCGCTTTTCAGTTTGGTCATCGGTCAAACATGAGGTACTGGGGCCTACTCTGATCCGATAATTCTAGGGGTTAGGTTTCATTGATCGATCTGCATCACCCACCACTACTCAGAAATAATAATCCCAAACCATTACACTGACCCTTATCAAAGGTGAGGGTGGCGTAATTAGCAGCAAATAAGCTGTGCAGATATCTATCTGAATAGTCCTTTGTTGTGATTTTCTACAGATTTATCTCTACAGACAAACAGGTGTTGCAGAAAGAGAAACTTGAGGTCGACATTTTGCTTGTTTTACTGCACACCGGGAACACTTGTCGATAATAGTTGGAGGTGAAAGTTTACCCAAGTGACAATGTCAAAGCAGGGCATGCTTACCCTAAACATCGCGTGTCATCACTGATTTGCAGTGACCCAAACATATATTTTTTACAGCTATTTTGCCTCTTACGTCAAAATGGAATATATTTCGTCGGATTATCAGGTTATAATCTGGCTTTAACGTTTCATATGTATTGGTAACATGGCAACCGAGAGAATAACTGACATCGTTGGCAAACCAATGGCAGGGGTAGGGATAGTCGTTACTGCAAGCTTTATGATTACTTATGATATTTGCACTGCGCCTATCCAATTGCAACCATCGCGAACGTCGTCCTTTTTGTCGTTTTGTTTGTTTGTTGTTTTACGCCGCACTTAGCAATATTCAAGCTATATGACGGCGGTCTGTAAATAATCGAGTCTGGACCAGACAATCCAGTGATTGATATCATGACAATTGGGATTCGATGACATGCATCAACCAAGTCAGCGAGCCTGACCACCCGATCCCGTTAGTCGCCTCTTACGACAAGCATAGTCGCCTTTTACGTCAAGCATGGGTTGCTGAAGACCTATTCTAACCCGGATCTTTACCCTTTTTGTCGTATGTTAATGTGCAGATATTATGTGCAGGAATATATCGCATAACTTGATCAATGAAATATACATGTCGGAAATGTGCGAGCTACATTCTGGTATTAAGTTTCAAATCCTTAATGATAAATTGTGTACATGTAGTGTAGCTTTCTGGGTTTAACAAAACACCATGCATCTGTTATCTATAAACTCATGCAATGGTAAAGTTAATTGACTGAACCTTATTCTAAATAATGTGCACATCGATGACTGAAACAAATGGAAACCATCAGGATACCATTACGGAACGTTTTGGTCTTAAATCCCATATATGTTTGCAGTCAGAAAGTCTTGTATGACTTATTTCTTTTATACTGCGAACCAAATGATAGGAAAAGACATTCATTGCTATCTATGGCAGCTTCTACATTCCACCAGCTGATGTAGATCTAATAAACTCGAAATTAGGTAATCAAAATACTACCAAATGTGCATCAATATACTTATAAAGATCGATGCTGCCATCATGACCAAATTAGCTCTGTGATTATACCTACTTTTGGAATTGTCTGGGGGTTTTTTTATAGATACGTACCTCCCTTCAGGTATTTGGAAGCGTTGTTAGCAGGAAGACCAATGATATCAAATTGTGACATCGTTACATCCGGGTATATAGATATCGCCTCCTTGTTGCCATAGCGCCAGATGTATATGACATCGTCGTGGGAATAACCAACTGTTTGCCGGAATAATATGAGAATAAATGTCATTTATTTTAACATTATACAACAATGACATTTCTTTCTTAGAGATACATCATGAGATTACCATCAGCTTATGCTAGCGTTACATTACTTTAATATCGGACTCTTATTGATATCGCGTTTATCAAATTTTTTCCTTTATTCTACTGTTTTAACAATTTATTAAGATACCCATTCATTTGACATACGGTGGATAATTGTATCAGTAAACACAGAATTGTATCATCGCGAATGATATGTATATACTAATCAAAGAAAAACATACCGTCGTCTAACATATTAATAGCTTCCCCATACACGTTTCATTATTTCCTTTACCATATATCTCCACTACAATGATGCTCGTACTCCCGTTTCAGATCATTTCAGCCGATATTCTAATGCGTTAAAAGCAAACTGTTGAGCTATTGTCTGAACATTTACCTAAAAAGAGACCATTTTCATCTTTACCATATCAGTTCAGTTATTTGATTATTTACAAGACTTAAACAGACAATCACAATAAAGTGTACCTAATACCCTGTACTTACAACTTCCCACTCTCAGGGGACATTTCTGAGTATCCATTGGAAACGATTCCAAGTCCATCCTGCAATGTGCCTTTATGGTCAGTCTGAAATGAAGTGAAAACGTAGTCCTGAAGGAGTGAGTGAGTGAGTTGGGTTTAACGCCACTTTTTACAGTATTCAAGGTATACCCCGGCGTGTCAGCTTAATGTGGGGAGAAAGCCCAAAGTGATGCAGGTCTCAGACGTTTACCGCTTCGGTGAAACCCACGAGCAAGGGTATGGTGCTGACAAACCTAGAAACATAATCGGGGCGAACCGGTATTCGAACCCACAATCATAGGTTTCTGGCGTGCCTAAGGGACGCAACTCTGCACAGCGAAGTTAAAGGATGACGCTTGGAAAGATTGTCACTGCTCAAACATACGTTGTTCCCAAAGAAAAATCATGTGATACGAATTGGTATCAAATCGGAAACTTATTGGTTGTAAGTGACCAACATGTTTGAAAACCAAGTGAAAACCATTCACACGTCACAATCGTGTACCATGTTAACCAATATGTTGGTGAGAATAGATATCCATATCTATTTCTCGTCAAGCTTCACAAACTTGTTTGCAAACTGTTTTCGCATAGTTCACACACACCAAACACATGTCTGTACACATAAACCTGCGAACTTGAAGCCACCTTAAAAGATGCAACTGTGAAGAGCGATTGGCGGAGCCATAGATGACTGAACCACCTATGGCCCCTGTTCCCAATGAAACATCGTCTCAAATGAAAGAAATATTGTTCTAGAGCATTTAATACAAGTCAAGTGTACACATCGTGCGGACGTATACCTCATGCGTTTGCATCCTACGTCATGAGGTGGCATACCTATGAAGGGACGTGTATGCACATACATTGTATGTGTGTGTTCGTGTGTGTGGCTGCTTGTGTAAGTCTGGACTAATGCCGGTTTAATAGTGCGAGCCCGCTTAGAAACCATGTCGCAGTTTAACATTGACACCTCACTCACACACAGATTACTGAGTTTGAGCTGACCAGCCCTTGTTTTATTCCCTTAATGTCGAGCGCCAGGCAGGGTAACAAGTACCATCTTTTAACGTCTTACAGTATGACGCGGCGGTAATCGAGCCACAACCTTCCTATCTCCGGCCAGACGCTCTATCCACAACGGAGTAATCCGATAAGACATTGATTAGTCCTACCTCCAAGTAACTATGAAATCAGACCATGTAAGCGAAGCCATGGCTACATCAGAAGAGTACTAACGAGCATACGATATTGTGTTTAGAGCTGTTATAAACAGAAGAGACTATACATAATTATGGAACACAATATGAGAGTTTGCAAGAGTACATTAATATCATTGTCTAAACTTTCATTGTCATGAGTGTAATTATATCAAGTTTGACAGACGTCAGTGAGTGAAACGCTCATATACTATTCTGTGTGGCTCAAGTGGGGAACAGAAGTAATTAATATACCGCTGGAATTACAAATTGATGTAAAACATCAATAACATTATTTAAAGATAAACAAATTTCCATCGAACTAACTTAATGAAAATATGTTGAGTTGTCATGTCACCTGAATTTGTCAATTTTATAATACAGTAAAATACGGTTATAACGAACTCAAAGGGACCACTAATTTTAGTTCGTTGTAGCCGTGGTTCGTTATATGCATATATACAGCATAACTACAGCAAATAGTCGGGACAAGAAAGTAAGTTCGTTATATCCGTCAGTTCGTTATAAGCGTGTTCGTTATAACCGTAGTTTACTGTATTTTAAAGTAAATGTGACTGTACCTAAATACAAACCCCTTAGGTATTTTTGTCCTTTCCAATCATAACTCTGTTACCAAAAGCTACCTTCAAAGGTATTCAATATTTCATGTGCAGCAAAGAAGCCGAAAACAAATTTCATTACTATAAACTTTTTAACCGACATGTCCTACCCGCACAGATTTAGTTTAACAATAATATTTTTATTGCTCGAAACAAGAACCATTACAGTAGTTGTGACATAAAACATGCTCAATGGTATCATTTGAATCTTCCATATTGATGTCCCATCTGTTCAATATATAGGCCTATTTTGGTGCATGGGACTAAGCCTACCATTTAATCATTTCATTACTAGTCGTTACCATATTAATGAGGAAAGGAAACGCCTAATGTAGCAATGACTAAAATGACATTTGATATTTGTAATTGAGTAGAATTGTCATAAAAGGTACCCGAGCTGCAATCAATCACACCAACTTGATGAAATTAATCCGCCACGTTGATCACGCCGTTGCATATATCATGTAGGAATGTCACAAAGACATGGAAAGCCACTCTTTCCCCACTCTCCGTTAACGACAATGGCTCACCACGTGGAATCAATCATATTTACAACGTTAGCTTTCGTATTAGTCTCATGAACAGTTTGAATACAGGTGCAGATTGGGTCAGTGAAATTGAACGCAGTAATCAATAAACAAAGTTGTTATATTTAATAATTCAGAAGGAATTGTTCAATTCATAGGTTATAATAAAAGCAAAGCCGGAGACCTGTCAAATTGTAACGTGTCGTTATTAATCACAAAGCGTGAATGTGTGCTTCCCACATCACATACGACCTATACAAACTGAGGGGCAAAAGAAAGTATAACAAGTTTGATTTCTATGAAATAGAAAATTGAAAGAAATGTTGCAAAATTTGATGATGTATATTCATCCATCAGTCATACCTGCAACGGTTTAGAAAATGTAATATGTGGCTGGGTAATTTTTGTGTAACAATGAATTTATTCAATGAAGATTGGGGTAAGAAATGAAATTGCAACCACATGACACCTACTATGCTTTAAATGTACATTTGTGCCGAATGTTATGCAAATTTATTGATTTTCACAAATGACTAAGATACCCATCAGCAGTTGCGAATTATATTTTTATGAATTTATCTAAAGTTTTAAATTAAATTATACATTTTAACCATGTCGAAAGTACTCTCTGAGTGCTGACTAAGCACCAATACAGTTGAATTTTTTTATATAATATCGCTAACATAAAATATTTTCAATTGAAAATCAGAAATATGATAAAATCAACCTCAGTTTACATATATGAAGCGGACTGACGTTGTGAATATTGATCGTATCTATATCAACTGACATGCATATTGTATGAATTTAACATATAAGAATGGTAAATATTTGATATCTTTTTGTCAGCGCGCACAGAAACACATATTGTACAAGCACGTGCTCATGGCCATGAGTCCTTTTCACAGAAGAAATAAACTTGTTTCTTGTCTCTCTTTGAATTTGATTCATATTAAATCAAATATGTTTAACACAATATATATTTTGGCTCAGTTAGAAAATCCTGTAACAGTACAATTTCTAACGCAAAGACCCGAAACCAGAAGGATTGCTTACCGAATCTTATCCAATACATAAATTGTATCTAGTCTAGCCTACCGTAATGCCATAATTGCTGAAATGTCAGTATCATGACATGGACAAATGGGAGAATCATAACAGAATAATCAAATACATATCACACACTGACCATTCTATCGGAGTGGTGATTTTTCTACTTTTGGGATATTATGACTGTGTATACAGGTGACACTGGATGGCCTACACGTTCATGCTCAGTGTAATGTGTATGTTAATTACTGTTGACTACCAGTATTCACAACCCCTTAAAAGCTATTCAGTTAAAAGTACAGAGCAATAAATCTCAGGCAAATGTGCCAAGCAGTACCTTTGGGAGAAATAAATATTGCCATCACTCTGTAGTCTGAAGAACTTGTTTGGCGAGGTAATGGAATGGAGATATGATCTGCCCCCGTTCAGGAAGAATGTGTCAGGATACCATATCCTCTCCAGCATCCTGCTACTGAGGGAGAGCTCTGAGATCCCCTGCATGGTCGCGTTAAAAGCCAGGCGAGCATCCTGCCAGAACTGCCGGAAGTAGCAGTCCATAGAATAGATCTGGAAAAACAATTTATGACATTGTTTAAACATTTAAGATCCTTTTGAGATTTGGAAACGATAGTCAAATCGGACCGTCCGTGCTGCTGATCATGACACACCTGACTTAACCTCAAGTTAAGGGAATCTTGGAAAATAGGTCACTGTTCATGTTTAGTTAATCATCGCCAGTATCATATATGACTTACATACTTTAGAGGAATCAGAATGGCTATGGGTTTTACCAAAGAGGTTGTAGACATTCAGAGAATTTTACGAAATATGACACTTCGCTTGTCAAAATGAGGCCCGCTACACGCGTCACGCATTCAGATTTGGTTGACAGTGTGGTATCACTTTCAGTCCCTGGACTGTCTGGTCCAGACTCGATAGTTAACAGACCGCCATCACACGAGAAAGGTATTGCCGATTAGTAAAAAATCAAACATTTATTTGTTTTTTAAACTTTTGTGAGTGACGGGTCATTTTACGCCCTATGGAATCTGTTTCGACAGATATTCGCGACTGATTTTTTTTTTGATTCTTTTTTTTTTGGGGGGGGGGGGGCATTTGAATTAACTTGTGTATCAATGTGAGGCTAAAGTCAACAATTGGCCAAATAACACCGAACTTGGAGGGACCCTTCTTTAATGAACATATTCTCTTATACATGAATATGAACACATAACACACACTCAGTCATGATGTAGTTTCTTGCATGTCACTGCGACCAATAAGAAAGACTAAAAAAAGTGCATATTCCAGAGGTGACTTTATTATACGAACCCTCGATTGAGTAATGAGTGAGTGAGTATGCTGTAACACGTGACATATATTCAAAAGAAGTTTGTGTACTATATAGACAAAGCAATTTACAATAAAGATACCCGGACGACGAGAAAATTATGGTGGCAAGAACTCTAGAGATTAGTTATTGATTAGTTGATAAGCGGGTAATTGTCGGAATATCAAGAGTACAGTCATTATCTGCAGCCGCATCCTTTACAGATATACATAAAGTTAGCATCCTTGATACCTGCTGATGAGCGCTAGGGAGCGCTAAAACTATCAAGGCTGGGGGGAAAGGATGGGTGGTGCGATCGTGAGTGAGTGAGTTAAAATTTATGTCGCATCGGCATATTTTCAGCCACATAGCGACGTGAGCAAGTTCATATATACACGGGTGAGTCAGGAATGCGGTGCGATCGTGCGTTGTTATCTGTACAACAGTATCTCACTGCTTTGGTTGGTTGGTTGGTTTGTTGTTTAACGCCGCACTCAGCAATATTCCAGCTATATGACGGCGGTCTGTAAATAATCGAATCTGAACCAGACAATCCAGTTATTGATATCATGAGCATCGATCCACACAATTGGGGTCGATGGCATGCATCAACCAAGTCAGCGAGCCTGACCACCCGATCCCGCTAGTCGCCTCTTACGATAAGCACAGTCGCCTTTTACGGCAAGCATGGGTTGCTGAAGACCTATTCTACTGCTTACACTTGGAACAAAATCTAACGGAATATCAGTTAAAGCGTTGTTTGTATTTTTAGTTATAAACGCCTCATTCAGGCCATATTCCAGCTGTATGACGCTGGTCTGTAAATAATCGAGTCTGTACTAGACAATCCAGTGATGGACATTATGAGCATCGATAACGCGACTGAGGTACGATGACAACAAGTTGTTTGACCAAAACGTTTCAGGTAAAATTTGGAGAACATTTACGCTCCCCTTTTCGCGAACACCTGGTATCATCACTATCTGATAGTGATCAATAAACGCATCCTCATGGTCTTGTCTGGTTTCTTTTGAATATGATAAGCGTTTTGTCGCTTTTATTTATAATGCAGTGGTCATATGACGGTGGTATGTAAGCCAACACCTGGTTTCATCAACATTTGATAGTGATTCATAAATACATGATCACGATAAAATACAACGGACTCTGCTTTAAGCTCTTTATGTGATAAGGGGCGGTCGGGTAGCCAAGTGGTTAAATCGTTCGCTCGTCACGCCGAAGACCCGGGTTCGAATCCCGACATGGGTACAATGTGTGAAGCCCATTTTTGGTGTTCCCCGCCGTGATATTTCTGGAATATTGTTAAAAGCGGCGTAAAACCAAACTCACTCACACATTTATATGATTGTTGAAACAGTTTGGTCGCTTTTGTTAATAGTATTGTGTGTCAACCATATACAAGACAATAATCAGCATCAGGACAAAGGTACCGACGGGAGCATATACATTTATGACTGTATTTCTGCTCAACTTTACATTTGTGTATCCAGCATTTGGAACATCGACGTCTTCATCGCGTCCACTATAATGACTATCATGGTGCCTCTGAAAGCCTCAGTGGCCCGAGCATCACCACGGCATCTTACGTAACTGACGTTGGATTTCATTTGAGCTGAATACCTAATGAAAAGCGGCAGTTGAAACGAGTCTTGAACTCGTGAAGATTGTGCAACACGTGCAACTCATTCGGACTGTGCGACTCCTGCAGTCTGTGCACCCCGTGCATGTGGATCTGGCAGCACTTGAGTCTGGAATTGTGTGCGTTCTTCAGACACAGTGGCAGAAATTGAGATGGCGTCGGAAAAAAAGACACGTACTGGTTGACTTTATTACATAATCATCGATCAAACATATTTTCCTCTGCCCAATCATAAGCCAATAGCAGTCGGTCATTAAGTCAGCGTTATCTCAATACGTGTGCACTGGGAGCCTGTCTGATCTTATCGGCCATTTTCACATAATTTACAGCTTTCACAAAACCCCTTTGATCCAGAGACATTTGTTAAATTAATTTCTGTTCAATGCAGCTAATAATCAGGAGTGACGGTGATATAATGTATTATTCACTTCATACATTCCGTTCATGCCGAACACCAGTCACAAAGGGATATGAGTACATGTATCCTTAAACACTAAAGAAACGCCGCTCCAATTACACACGATTTTAAAGGCGTTATAATTGCTTTATTCTACGTTTCCTCGCCACTATTTTGGACCGACTTGGCACAAATACCAAAGAGAATGGTATTGATCATATGACACTGGCACTCCTGGAGACAATGACAGAATAGAAGCATTGGGGCATTAATATCTGAAACAGTGGAACGGTTTATTGAATTTGTAAACACTTCATCATCGTGTTTTGCTCAAAATTAAACAATGTTTCAGCGTTTAGGAAAGCGCCCTGCACTCTGGGGTGAAGCTAGTAAAGTGTGGTGACCCCCACCGAGTCTCCGCTACCAACATCGCTTAATCCTGACGTCTTTGTCATCATTGGACTATGCACATGGTCAGATGTCACCATATTAAACATTTTGCTTGAGTTATTCTTGAGCCAATAATATACAGCATACTCATAACAGTTCTCAAAACATGCAGGCGCATTGGTGGTGAAACAATCCTTGTATCTCTCATTTGTTTGTTTGTTGTTTAACTCCGTACTTCACAATACTAGTGAGTATGGTTTTACGCCGCTTTTAGCAATATTCCAGCAATATCAAGGCGGGGGACACAGGAAATGGGCTTCACACAATGTACCCATGTCGGGAATCGAACCCGGGTCTTCGGCGTGACGAGCGAACGCTTTAACCACGAGGCTACCCGACCGCCCTCACAATACTAAGGATACATGACGCGGCATGTGCATACAAATTATCTCACCCTGGCTTCCCCAGTTAATAATGTATGTTTGTTTTTTGTTTAAAGCCGCCCTCGGGAATATTCGAGTTGGACTTGACAATCCAGTGATTGATAGCATTAGCAATATTATGCCAACGAGGTACGAGTCAATCCATTACGTTGTATCTTTCTACCAAAATAATTTCCTGGGGACAAAAGCAGTAACATTGAGATGGTCCGCAAACACTATCTGTTCCTGTTACGAATGTCTGTGCGTGGTTAATCCACCTCACTACGACGCCATTTGTCGGGGGGGGAGGGGGGTTCGGAAATCCAGGAACGGTGGAGTAGCCTTGTGGTTAAAGCGTTCCTCGTCATGCCGAAGGCCCGGGTTCGATTCCCGACATGGGTACGATGTGTGGAGCCCACTTTTGGTGTCCCCCGCCGTGATATTGCTGGAATATCACTGAAGCTGTTAATCAGGGTGATTTAACTGGGAACAGTTCAGTCCGGATAAACGGGGCTTAGCATTTCACGGATCCCTTCTAAGTCAGATATGGTGGTTGTGAAGCTATAACGTGATCTCCCGTCTCTGTAACAGGAGTCAGTGAGTTTGATTTAACGCATCTTGAACAGTATTTCAATTATATCACGGCGTGTCAGCTTGATGCGGGAGAAAAGCCCGAACTGATGCTGGCCATGTAACAACAGAACGAAATCTACATACCGTGACTCGGAGGTTCAGCTTCCGTTAGCTTTGGTTAGCTTTGCATCGCGATATAACTTAAACCGAATTAAAAACGTTTATACGGACATAGGGAGTGAGTTAGTTGGGTTTAACGCCGCTTTTAACAGTATTCCAGTTATATCGCGGCGTGTCAGCTTAGTGTGGGAGAAAAGCCCGAAGTGATGCAGGTCTCAGACGTTTACCACTTCGGTAAAACCCACGAGCACAGGTATGGTGTTGACAAACCTAGAAACATAATTGGGGCGAACCGGGATTCGAACCCACAATCATAGGTTTCTGGCGTGCCCGAGGGAGGCAAATCTGCACAGCGAATCGCGGCGCCTTAGACGACTGGGCCACCCGTGCCCCCAATTTCTCAATTTATCTGGTGTTGAATGTAGATAACCTACACACTTGTATCACATGTACTCGGTCATCCTTCCAGTCGACTGGCTGCATTATCCCGGAGGATATCACATTTAAAACAATGCAATATTATTTGTTTCTTGTTGTCAGTGTGATTAATCCTCAGAGATTGTGTTATGGAAATACACCAATACGCGAAATGAATCATCTGATAAAAAAATTCCAGTCAGAAGAGATACAAAAAGCTTTCATTCACATTGAAATTTGTAATTATTTATCTATTCTAAAACGACAGTGTAAATCAGGATGAAGGGAACTGCACTAAGTATAGGTCATTCCTGAGATGATGGAGACTGAAGAAGGGTATTATTTCATGTTTCATTATTCCGTATCGACAGTTCTATACGCAATTACTGTCGGTTGCTGACTGATGGTCGTGCGTAAGTTTCGTATTATTTTATGAGTATCATATTTATTTCAACGAAATTAAATTTCATTTTGTATCGGTATGTTTAGACCCAATAAGAAGCGATGGTACTCAATATGTCCATGTGGGTCAACGGGTTTGTCATTAAGCTGTCTTTCTGAAGTGTGCGTTCATATTTATTACAAAATATAACCTTGAAAACCGAAAAACGATTAAGTTTCAAATACAACACTCAACATAGATGAACACAACTTGTCTCATTGTGACAAGGAACTTAAGGACATGTTTTCTCTTTTCACGACCACCTGGTATTTTGTCCTTTTCGCCCAATGGAGCCACCAGCTTGCTTTATCTGTTTCTTATGCACACGAGTCGGGAGTTTCTGTTCGGAATGGCAAAGTCAAAACAAGGTAATTTAGCCAAGAACGTTAACTAAAGCTTCAGGTATTCCAATGATCTGATATGAACGTTAACTTAAGCTTCAGGTATTCCGATGATCTGATATCGTTCAATAACCATCAATTGGCCAATTCCCTTCTGATCACCCACCTGAACAAGAAATAAAAGAGACCAGTGAGACCGCCTCATCTGTTTCATATTTAGATCTATGCATAACGATTCAGAGTGACAAGCGCTCTCCACGTGGCTGTATCACAAGAGGGATGACTTCAACTTTCCAATAGTCAACTTTCCCTTCATGTCGAGCAATATTCCAGCAGCTCCAGCCATTGGTGTTTACATTTCACAACCTTTGAGATACAATCGAGCATGCCCTTTCTACTATGATTTCAAAGAGCGCCATAGGACTCTTGCTGAGAAGTTGTTTGATAAACGTTAAAACATTTTAGACCTCAGTAAAGCTTTCAAAAGTTTTATGGCAGACATGTGGAGAATATTTCCAAATTTGACGCACCGCTGACAAAAATGATGTCCGATCCAGTTCCCTTTTTTAATTGTACCACATGTTGCAGTGTTTTGTCAGGTGAACATTTGACTTGCCTTTGCATGTGTTTGTGACGGGTGCCACTGGAGGGGCAGGATACGCTCACCTTTTCGCGAACACCTGGTATCATCACTATCTGATAGTGATTAATAAACGCATGTTCATGGTCTTGTCTGGTTTCTTTTGAATATGATAAGCGTTTTGTCGCTTTTATTTAAAATGCAGTGGTCATATGACGGTGGTATGTAAGTAATCGACACAAACCAATGGTTGATAATATTAGCAACCCTCCATGCCTCCACGCCTTCTGCGATGACACGCCATAAACCAAGTCACCGAGCCTGACAATCTGATCCATTAAGTCGTCTCGTATATAATGAGCGGGCTGTGTATAAAAGAACTAATACTGAAAGAGGTTGGAGCTGATGCTTGCAGGGGTGAACTAATGTTAAACCTATACTGGGTGAGTTGTGTTGAACGACGCATTGAACAATGCTTCAGTTATAGTACGGCGTGCCAGCTGCATGTTGGAGGGAAGGACACAGGGACACAGCTGGTCGCAGGCTATGGTTACCACTTGGTTAAACCAACGATCATGAATACAGGCATGACATACCAATGATTATGACCATCCAAACCGAAATCACCACAATGCTAGTTTTAGAAAACGTAGGACTATCTACTTCAGACAATGATGACTTCATCAAAATTGTAAATTGTTCTTGAAATAAACCAAGTTAATAATCTTCCCATATTCTCTTAATGGTGACCGCCTCCGCCATACCAAAAGACGTTGAAAGACGGTACTTGATGTTACCCTAAGGGATCGGCATTAAGAGGATAAAACAAGGAGCGTATAAGTGCAATGCTCTTGAACGGAACGTTATTCCCCAACTTACCCCCTCACCTCCTAATAGTAGCCACGCATGACATTCGCTTCCAGTCGAACATATCATAAAATTGGAAAAAGGCTTGAACAGATACAAACGTCTTTCAATTTTTGTTCATGTTTTGTTGGCCATGTGTACAACTGGTATTATTATTTGACCTGATTAAAAAATAAAATCCATGAAAAAAACAAGTATCAATTCTCGCAGGGTGCGATGTATGTACACTGTCCCTTATTCAATTAACCAAAGATTCGGTCGATAGCAACAACTACCAATTTTTCATCTCTTTTATTGCACTCCCTACTTATTCCGTTCGACATATGTCCGGAAACCAACGTAAAAACACACCGAATGACACTTAATCTGATGCGGGAGGATTTTTTGCAATCTCCAATGCCAATCTAGTTTAATTAAAGTCAGATTGCTCTCGCAAAATCTAGAAAATTAACCGCCCTGAATGTATTTGTTGGACCCCATGATGTCATGTTCCGCGAGACGCGAAGATAGATTGGAACTAAAAAGTGCCTTCCTTAAACACATCTAGATTAAACTGTCAGTAGAAACACACCGCCTGGCTAATAGATACTTTTATGTATAGTCCTCGCTCAGACATAGCCATTGAGTACATTGTTAAACATGTTGGTTATTACTATATAATTGTACTGTATATCAAAACGCTGATAGATGGCCAAGAAACATCAAGCTGACCCAAACTAACATTATTCTTCTTGAGATGCCTTTCAAAATAATAATTCTACGGATGATGAAACATCCATGGTATATAAGGTTAATATAATGGCATTTGAACAAAATAATGTTTTGCCAAGAGGCAAAATCATGATTCTTTAGGTTAAATGAAGGTCTAATGATTTAAGGATTTGTACGGACTAGGAGACAGTAATGTTAAATAAATGTACATGTATGAGCCATAGCTGATTTCTAAAGCCAGATTTATAGGTTAGTAAAGCCAGTAAGAAGTATTATCACATCAAACACATATATAGAAACAGTGATGAACACTTATTACAGTTTTCGCCTTATTGATTTTTTTGAAACTATTTTATTGAATATATTCCCACGATACCTCGAGACACTAAGGATCTGAAACTGCATCTAATACATATACAATGATGCAATATAATTAACCTTATCCAGGCCTGTGCTAGCGGACACACATAGGTACCTGTTCAGCGTCACAGACAAGGACGTGACACTTCATCAAGAAAAAATCGCATATATGTCGCGGTTGTTGTAGAATGTTCGTGTTACAAAAGAAACCCCTTTATCCACAATCAGCTATATAAAAGAAAGTAAAGTCCTTAAGTCCGAAGTAAATGCTCTCTAAATGTTCTCCACCGCAAGGAGATATAAACGGATAATGTGTGTTATGGCCAAGATTATTGTCCAGTCAGAGGAACTGAAAAACAACCAAAGAATAAAGCCAATAAGCATTTCCTTGTACACCACGTTCAGAAGATCTCCGCCTGGTTATAAGAGGATGTTTCATTTAGGTTGGGCATGATGCTTTGAGTTTGACCAGCAACCGCTTGGTATGGCCAGAAGCTTGACGTCGACGGATACTAATATGTTTTACAGCCTGACGCTCCACTTACCATATCCTTCTCTGACATTGGGCCCATGGATCGAACCAGGATGTCTGTCTTCACGACGAGAGGAGGACCTGGAAGATAAATTGGACTCGAACACTTAATGCAAGGGGGACGACTTGAGTACAGTGGGTTCGTCGAATGAATGAAGGCTGTTAGCACTGAATTTGTCAAACTATTATTCGGTGTTAAACTCTGGAAACATAAATCATTATCCGGTTGCAAAGAGGGCGAGCCCGAGTTGAGACAATATCAATCAATGTCGGTTTGGAGCCATTGACAAATTGTCCTCATTTGGCTTGTAAGGTAAACGTGTCCTTGGGGAACAAATATATTAAGTTGGCAATGCTCCGGGGCAGTTTCCTTAAGAATCAAATTTCGGGTTTATTGCAGTTAATTAAATTAATAAGTCGACAGATGCCTTTCTTCACCCTGAAGGAAATTTAAATTATGAAGAGTTAACGGAACATGTTGTTGAATGGCCATAGCATGGCATGGTTATATATCAATATTACCGTCATGGTGGAATTCATCCTACAACCAACCACAATGCTCAATTATGTGTGTCTTGGAAGTCTCGAGGGACAACATGGTATAACTCCACCACAATCAATGATCATCTCGCCCAAGGTCTATGGTGCGGTAATCCTTGGAATGGTGTCACATAGTTCAAATGTAAATTCAAGCAATTAGTCCGCGGAAGAGGTATGTTACATTTATTATATGCCTTATATAAATGTTACAGGTAAAGACTGAGCCTGATTGGAAACTTCATGAGGCAGCAATACAGCCAGTAGCACCGCTGCTACTACTACTACTCCTACTACTACTACTAATAATAATAATAATAATCAACCAAGCGAAGTGCCATATCAAATAGGCCCAGACTCAGTTTTTCAAGGAGTGACTATCTGAATGACTACTGCAGCGAGTTTATGTACAGTATGTTGAGAAATTCAGCAATCCTGCAGTCCTCCGTTTGGATGAATTCAGCTGGACTGAAAAGTGAAACAGAAGGCTTTCTGTTTGCTGCTCAGGACCAGTCACTTCCCACTCGAAACCGTCAATGTGAGATTTTACATCACAATGTAAATATGAAATGTAGATCATGTAATGAATTTAATGAGACTTCCAACACATTGTCAATGGATTCCCAGCTTTGGCACAAACACAGTATCTAAAGAGACTCGATCATTTTATTACCGTCTTCTCAATGCTTGTGGTTTTGACACAGAGGTCATGGAAAATGATACATACAAAATTCTTTGCAATAGGACCAGCTTCAGACGTATCCAGGCCAACAAATCGGATCTTGTCCCTTTTGACAAATCCAATGAAATCATTTTGTCCCTTTTGACACTGATGTGATTGACAAGATTCAGGAAAAAACATGGCAAATATGCAGACCTCTCTTTCGAAATGTCACGCTTGCATCCCAAGTACAAAGTTGACCGACTCCCCATTGTTCTCTGTGTTCTCTGTGCCTCCCAATCTGTTGACTGACATTGGGAGAGTAAGCGGGTTTGTTACCAGGAATACAGCCCTTCTGACAATCTGGGTAATGCAGAAGCCGGCAGTGTTGGGGAGTCTTCACATTCTCCGAAAAGTTCTAGGTAGGTTCGCTTCCTGTGAAAAGGCCCTTTCGCTGACTGGGCTGCTTGTAGAGGGGGCAAGGGCCCTGAACTGATAATGAGCCAAAACCAGTCGGACTGTGCCAGGATCACCCTCTTTGCTGCATTTTTTTATTTTGACCTGTTCATTATAACAGTAATAACAAAGATGTCTTATGGTATCGATAATGTTAATGAGGAAGGGGGGGGGGGGGGGGGGGGGGGGGGTAGGTGAAATTGACCACTACACAATACTCATATTGTCCTTATAGAATGTTCCATCCTGTCTTCTATATACAAACTTGATATGCTTATCTAGGTTCCTCCCACAAACATTGGATGCAGGCGGAAGAATATAGTTCCTTGAAAAGATTACTGGTAATTAAGTTAACGCCCTAATGTAGAATGATGCCATATGCTCACCTCCGAAACCCGGTCTCAGTCGTCTGTCATAATCATCCAAGAGACTGTCTAGCAGCGTCGTCATATTCATACCTCCCCCATAGTTCCAGGCAGAGGACGCCGCGACCTTCAGTCTTCAAGGACATACAAGAAATGTAAGTCAATTGTCTGATGTAACCTTCGTCAGCTCACCGTTACACGTCTTAGAAAAAGTATTTTGCGTGTCAAGAATTACTGTAATAATTTGTAACAAAAATTATGTCCGGAGCAATTCCCTATTTTGACTTGAACCATATGCTCCCGTGTTTTGTTTAGTTTTTCAGATGAACAGTTGTTTTGCCTGTGCATGTTTTTGTGATGGATGACACCGGTGGGGCAGGATACGCTTACCTTTTAGCAGACACCTGGTATCATCACTATTTGATAGTGATTCATAAACATGTGTTCATGATAGAGTCGGAATCGTACAATCGACTCTGCTTTTAGCAGAGATTTCTATTGAATATGGAAAGGGTTTTGTCGCTTTTATTTCTATAAATAAGTTCTATTACATTGCTGGAGGCAGGGATGGAATAGTGGTCTGAGGCGCCGCTATTCGTTGTGTAGATCTGCGTTCCTTAGCCGTGTCAGAAACCTAATGATTGTGGGTTCGAGACCCGATTCGAACTAATGATATTTCGCGGTTTGTCAGCTCCCGTGGTCATGGGGCCTAAGACTGGTGTCAGTTCGTGACTTCGTCTCATATGAAAATGACTCTCACTCACTCACTATTACATTGCTCTTACTGTTATTAATATCATTTTAATAGTTACTTCTAATAATTACAAGATGATGTGCATATATGCATTTATGTAAACTAATGTAAAATCTCTTTAGTTCCATTTCTTATATCTCGATTTTATCCTTTAATATACTCGATGTATCGTTTATGGTGCCGGCAGAATCATTATCAAAATTGGTAAAATAACGGTACTCCTTTTGTCGGATAATTGGAAATATTTTGAAGTAAACGATGTCCAATTACCGTGCGTAAAAAATAAATGTGAACATTCTAAACAGTTTACTTACATTAAAATCGAAATCGTTAATAAACTCTCCATGACGCTTTTACTGGCTTCGATCTCCTGAAATAGAAAAAAATATCACGTTATCTCGTAAACAGATTGCCAACAACGCCGTATACAACACTTTGAAACAACCCAATAACACTTCAAACCGCAATATGTGTTCATGTTATAACACACTTAGTTTTTCCATGACACAAAATACACCCAAAATTGTTATTTTTGAGAACTTCACACGTTACGAACTGATTTTATATTCCCCCATGCTGCAGGAAATAACCACTCTCAGGTATTAGCTATAAAGAAGAGAGGAAGTGTCACTATCTCAGGACCTGATCGTTACTTTATCTCGCAACCTTTGTTCGATCTAACACCCAATAAAGTTAAGCTCCGGCATAAAACATAACAAAGGCTCATACGGCCCCTCGAGGGGTCTTACAAGGGCATACTCGTCTGAGAATTTTGGCAATAATGTATATTGATTTGGCTCTTCTGTCCAAATCCATACCGCAGAGTGAGTCATTTGTTTCCTTCGTCAAGGCAAGTGTTCTTAATTTAAGTGATAAAAGACCACAGAGCCACCTACTGCCAAGAATATTGCCCTGGCCTCTTAAAGCAGCCTCAGTCTAATTTCCTTAGCCTGTTTCTCGTTTAGTGCTCAACGGAACTATCCTCACCTTAATGATTCGCTGTGACCAATATTAGATTTTGCAATACAAAAACCCAGAGAGACGCCCTGCTTACATTTCTTCAACAGCACACCATTAAAGTTTCGATTAAAGTTAGAGTTATATAAAGACCTCATCATAAGAAACATGGCAATTTCACACCTGCTGAGAAATTTCCACATTACCAAATGAACACAAATATGTTTTTATGTTACATTTTGTATTTGTTATCAGATGAACTTTTCTAAACCTAATTTGCTGCAGATTGGTACTGCCACGGAAATATAATTGCAATGTATAGTACAATGACATTATTAACTAACTCCGAAATTCCTCCACTGGTATAGTAATAGTGTGAGCTACAGTGTATTGAAAATCAGTACTGCAGTCGTGCATTACGTCTACGTGTATGGTAATAACATGTGGTTGGTATGAAAACCGTTACTTTTAAAAGTGTCAATTTGATAACGAAAGGTACCGCAATATTTCAATTTCAATTGGTACAAGTAAATTAAACGCATTTAAATGAGAAAAAATGAATTCATATGAAATGAAATTGCGTTGCGGTATTAACTCTACTGGTGATCGTCAATGTAGGTTAATGATTTGCCAATTTTATTTCGTTTGGACCATTTTCCTTTTCTGGTAAAAGAAGGATTTACGCATGTGAATACATGTATTTGATTTTTTTATTATAACTGAGAATTATAGCTGGCCACCTTGTCATGGATTATAGCTGAAAACAACGTGATTGTAGTCGATAGGACATGACTATATAACACTCATTTCGCTCTCATTACACATCAGTCAGCGGTGTATGAGGTACATACAGATGCAGATGCCAGGCACATAGACAGTATTCATCCATACATAGATGTTCGTGTTCAATATGTACACATATATATATTTCAGGAGGGACCAAAAAGTTAAAGGTTTTTATAAGTATATAAATGTATAGATCAGAGCAGGGGTACTATGGTGCCAAACGACGACTTGGACTTTTAAACACAGTAATCTGTTCCTGAAAAAGATAGGGGAAAAACATTTGCTATTATGTCTCACTACCAAAACATAAAAACTGTGGGCAAAAGAAACTAATAGCGCACATATATATATATATATATATATATATATATATATATATACACACACAAGTATGATCCAATATATATACAAGTATGATCCAATTGCAGAAGAGAGTGCTCAATACAAAGTAGAGCATAAATACAGATTTGAGTAGTATACTTTCCTTATATCATTTTGCAACTCTGGGTTTCACGCGCCCATGGTATTGCGTACGATCATCAGGCATAATGAAACATGGTTTTCAGTTTGACCCTTTCTTTTTTGCTCGGCTTGGGGGTAGTCCATGGCGACAGGTGGAAATGATATATATATATATATAGTATGCTGGCGCTTAATAATATTTTTTTTAAACATAATTATATTTCAAACTTTTAAAAACAAAAATCGCATAATACATAACAACTGATAGGTATCTGAGACATCTTATCTTTTTAATTCAATAAAATTGCTTTTTCAGCACAAATTAACAACATTTCAAACATGGTAGGGATCATATGGCTGTAAATTCATTTCTTACCCCAGTCTTCATTGAACCAAGTTTATTTTTACACAAAATTACCCAGGCACAGATTATTGTTTATAAACTGTTGCAGGAATGAGTGAAGGTTAAATGGACATACTTAATTTAAACAGTTCTTTAAAGTTACAATTACATTCATGACAAAATCGGTACACTTTCTTTTTCCCTCAGTTTGGTTTGTTCACTGGGCAGGCTGAATGTTGGATAGTCTGATTCCTCCTTCAATGAGACCGCCTCCGTGGTCTTGCGGTAGAGCGTCCGCCCGGAGCGTCGATCCCCGACCGCGTCATACCAAAAGACGTTAAAAGATGGTACTTGTTGTTACCCTGTCTGGCGCTCGGCATTAAGGGGCTAAAACAAGGACTGGTCGGCTCGGAGTCAGTATACTGTGTCTGAGTGGGGTATTCATGTTAAACTGCGGCATGGTATCTCAGTGAGCTAGCACTATAAATCGGCATCAGTACGGACTGGTACAAGCAGCCACACACACATACACACACATACATGCACGTCGCTATATAAGTGCAATAATCTTGGACGCGACGTGAAACCCAATTTCACCTCACCTCACCTCACCTCCTTCAATGAAAACGACATAATTATGTTGAAGCGGTGATTGGTCAGTCACAGCATGAAGTCCTGTAGCCATTGTCACTCATGATCGTTGAAAAGTGTACTACATTCATAGAGACACAACTTGCATCCAATTCTTGATTCGCTTCAGTATTGATGAACCTACTACTAATTGAAGTTGATTATTTGATCTTAGACGTCCGAAATCTCAGATACATTGGATATGTTGATATGATATATGTGGTATATTCGCGGTCTTCGAATGTTTTCATTACACTTCATTGAAATCTATATATCCAGTATCAAAGGATTGCTGTCCTAAAATGACAGTCGAAATGAAAATGTTTCATTCATTTCATTATAACGCATAACCTGTTCAACTTTCCTGGTTTCAAAATGACGATATCAGCTTCAGGTATCTCATTAACATTTACGATCGTCTAATTTCGTTATATATTTTCATTTCACTGTGTTCCATTAGACTCGAGTTCATCTTAAAGTAATTATGTCTATACGATTTTAATCTTTACCCAAATGATACTTTCCAGTATACCATGCAGCGAACAGATAACGTTATATAAATAGAGACAGAACTACAACATAATGTCAAAGTCATTACAACAAAGGTGCTCTACTGTTGACAGCTGTGTTCTTAAGGAGACCACCGTTCTTGATAATCCTCTTGGTGATAATACTGAAACACCTCCCTATCACTCACTCACGTTTGCATTCTTACAAGCCATCTGACTTATCAATAATATGGGCACATTGGTGGTCCATGGGTCTAAGAGATTTCAGAGTGACGTCCCTTAGTTATGCCAGGATCCACTCAATGATCAAGATTCACTCAATCTTTACCAATCTGTCAAAATTTTGTTCCATGGCTCTGGGGTTCATACGACCTGTGTCATTTTGTACGGAGACGAGATATTTTTCATATACAGCTGCAAAACCAGATATATTTTTTAATTAAAACTATGAGCTTAAATGTTCTTTTTAAATTACAACCTCCCAAAATTCCTTTCATTTTTTTATTTTTTTCATAATTATTTTTTTCAAGAATGTTTTTCGTTTTCGATGAATTCCTGCTATTGGATAGTCCAGAAACCGCCTTATGACACCTTCACAAGTTATTCCCTTGTTTCGCCGTCACCATCGACTCTGTTCGCACCTTGACTTGACACAATGTATGCCCACAGACGTACCACGGGATAGATCAATATCATTACCACACAGTTTATTTCACGGACAATAATTATTTGTACCTTGTGAAACCCTAATGATAAATGTATGTCCAGTGTTATTAGCAGGATGAAAGGGACTTCATGAGCTGGACTTTCATGTAAACCCTTGTCCGACACTAAACAGTCCCAAGAAATAGATTGTACTCAAGTGAGGTGGACATGGCGATATTTTAAAAGTGTGGCCAGTCGCTTCAGCTTAATTGAAAGTTGTGAAAGATCATTCCGACCGTAAACGGTTTCTCACCCTCCTAGTGCCACATGTTCTCATACACATGTACGTGTTATATTGCTGAGTGCTGCTTTTAAAGACATTATTCAGGCGCCGATGAACCTCTGGTAGAAGGGGAAGATTTATACCTCCCTTTATAAAACTTTATTATGAGACGATAAACTCTAGATGATGAATCTGGTTAGATGAGATTTTGAGACTAACCTTCGAGATTCGAGGAACTACTGATTATCTGTTCTGAGCCTGGAACTGTCAACAGTATTTCATGAGTGTTGGATCATTTGCGAGGTACACGAAGGTCTTTCTTAAATTACCTATGGTCATATTTCCTGAGTAAAATGTGTGAATCCGACCACAGCTCAGTAAATATATAATTGATGGAATGACGTCACATAAAACCGACTGTTACGTCATGAACTAAGGATGTTTGTTTGTTTGTTGTTTTACGTCGCACTAAGCAATATTACAGCTATATGACGGCGGTCCGTAAATAATCGAGTCTGGACCAGACAATCCAGTGATTGACATCATGATCATCGATCCACGCAATTGGGACCGAGGACATGCATCAACCCAGTCAGCGAGCCTGACCACCCGATCCCGTTGGTCGCCTTTTACGACAAGCATAGTCACCTTTTACGGCAAGCATGGGTTGCTGAAGACCTATTCTACCCCGGATCTTCACGGCTCGAACTGAGGATGACCTCATCTTCTATGTGACAATGGGTTGATACGACAACACGTTCCTATAGGCACGCAGTGACAACAATGGCTGAACTGGAATGATTACGAAAAGCCAAAATTATAACGCCAAGCGGGAATTACTTAAAATGATTGCAATGGTTTGTCTGTTTTGTTTTTTAACGGAATATTCAAGCCATATGGCGGCGGGTTGTAACTAAACGAACCTTGGCCAAACAATCCATTTATTGACATCATCAGCATCGATCTACGCAATTGGGATATGATGACATGCATCAACTAAGTCTGACAACCCGATCCCGTTAGTCGCTTCTTACGACAAGCGTACACGTGGGTTGCTGAAACCAGGAATCATCTTATGGTACTATAATGAAACACTATAAAGGTAACGACAATACGAGCAGTATCAGCATCGGTCATACCCAAACATTGTTAACGGATTTATACCAATAATGCTACCTCCAAATATCCATGATGATCTCCTGCTAACCATGCATTGTTTATTTAATATTCCCAATATTTAACGGAATGAACGTCAGTGTAAACGGATTGATAAATGTTCAACCTTTTTCGTCCAGGCCATAATTGCAGAGAAGTATGGTCCCAGCTTCCCTGATAAATCGTTTAAATGTCTTACATTGTGAATAATGTCGTGACTTACACAAAATATATTTAAGCTTTTGATGACTTCTAAAAACGTATCCTGACTTGCACGATCTACATGTAGAAAAGATTTACTGGCTCTACGTTCCCGACATAGTAAATTCTTCAAAGATCGATCAAGTCACGATACGTTTTTAGGAAGTCATCGCAAGCGTTTCACCAAAGTGTAAAATATCACGGGCTTAAGTTTGGTTCTTGGTTAATTTTCAAAACTTTTTTGAAGAGATAAACCTTATTTATGTGTAAGATGTGACAGGTATTGAAGGTTAAAGGGGGACTTGTCATGTTTGAATCATGCCATTGAAAACCCATTTTAGTGTCTCCAACTCACTTATCAGTATGTACACTGGAATAGACAAAACCGGACTTTGAGTTATCCGAATTGCTGTTAAATCCGGACAACATTGACGGTCCAATTAACAATGAATAATAAAAATTAACCGAAACTTATTTTTTTAAATCTTTCATTTACCTCACTAATTCGGATCTCTCTCTAAACCGGACTAGCCTTTGGGGTAGCCTTTGGGGTAGCCTCGTGGTTAAAGTGTTCGCTCGTCACGCTGAAGACCTGGTTTCGATTCCTGACATGGGTACAATATATATGTGAAGCCCATTCCTTGTGTCCTCCATATTGCTGCAATATTGGCGTAAGAACATACTCACTCACTTATTCACTAAACCGGACATAATAAATCGTCCCCAGTAATCCAGTTCAGGCAGATTCCACTGTACATCTATATAACACTTAATGCCTTTCAACTTTAGCTTCAGAGTCAGACATAAATTACGATATATCTGCATGCATACACACACAGCATCTGCCCGTAGAGCTTCTTGATCCCTACTAGAGAGCTACTTGAGAGTCAAGGCGGCCCCCATCCTCAGAGGGGGAGGAGGGGCAGAATCAATAGGTGACTCCGTTTGTGAACTGGCTAAATCGCCATAACCATTAATTACAGTCCATGCCACTGGAACACATGGATGCCATCCTATCCTCAATTACAGAAACATCACCCTTGTATAATTCAGTTGGACACTTGACCGGAGATTTACCTGATAAAATTACAATCTGGATTTTCTTCCGGAATCTAGTTTAACGCATTCACTACCATATTGGTTAGGGTTCACCGATTTGTATAAATGCATCTGTTTTCTCTTCTCATTCATTTAACATAAGTAATGTTCTACACTTCTACAGATTGAGACATCAATTATTCAACGTGTTGATGTATTCGGAACAGCAGTACCTGAGTCAATACTACCACAAGGACAATTGTGGTCAGGCTCGCTGACTTGGTTGATGCATGTCATCGATCCCAATTGCGTGGATCGATGCTCATGATATCAACCATTGGATTGTCTGGTCCAGACTCGATTATTTACAGACCGCCGTCATATAGCTGTAATATTGCTGAGTGCGGCGTTAACCAACAAACCAACCAACCAACCAACCAATCTTGCCCAGCAAGACGACCAGTCCTGTCATATTGGTCCACAATGTATATTCACGGTTTTCATATTTGGCATAAGCTCACCAGTATCAGATTCGACGAAGATCAGGTCTCTGCCGTCACAGCCGCGGGTGCCGGATATCGCTGTGCCAAATCTCTGCCTGCCCGGATCTGCTGATCGCAGTCTCGAATCCCCAAATCATTTATGATTCTCGGTTTGTCAACAGCACTCTCGACCTCGTGAGTTTTAGCAAGGTGGTAAACTTCTACGGCCTACCTCACTTTGGGTTTTCCTTCCACATTCAGCTGACACGCCGTGATATAACTGGAATACAGTTCAAAGCAGCGTTAAACTAATCTCACTCACTTACACAATATCAATACAGATTAGCAGATCTAATCGGGTCTAGTATCTGATGTCCAAGGCCTGAAACCAGTGTCCTATGACTGATGTCGTCTTTGTATTCAATGATATTCCTGCAGACAAGGTCCTACATACAATACCGCCGTCATATAGCTGGAATATTGCTGAGTGCGGCGTTAACCAACAAACCAACCAACCAACCAATCTTGCCCAGCAAGACGACCAGTCCTGTCATATTGGTCCACAATGTATATTCACGGTTTTCATATTTGGCATAAGCTCACGAGTATCAGATTCGACGAAGATCAGGTGTCTCTGCTGTCACAGCCGCGGGTGCCGGGTTTCGCTGTGCCGAGTCTCTGTCTGCCCGGATCTGCTGATCGCAGTTTCGAATCCCCAAATCAATTATGATTCTCGGTTTGTCAACACCACTCTCGACCTCGTGAGTTTTAGCAAGGTGGTAAACTTCTAAGGCCTACGTCACTTTGGGTTTTCCTTCCACATTAAACTGACACTCCGTGATATAACTGGAATACAGTTCAAAGCAGCGTTAAACTAATCTCACTCACTTACACAAAATCAATACAGATTAGCAGTAATCTAATCGGGTCTAGTATTTGATGTCCAAGGCCTGAAACCAGTGTCCTATGACTGATGTCGTCTTTGTATTCAATGATATTCCTGCAGACAAGGTCCTACATACAATACCGCCGTCATATAGCTGGAATATTGCTGAGTGCGGCGTTAAACAACAAACCAACCAACCTACATACAATTAACCAGTATCTGCACCCTACAAAACACACAGTTGGTGATCGCCCCCGTGGCCTAGTGGGTAGAGCATGGAGAGCGGGGTTTAATCCCCGGTCGCATCATACCAAAAGAAATTTAAGGATGGTACCGGATGTTATCTCGCCTCTCATCCGGCATTAAGGAGGTAAGACTAGGACTGGTCGACGCTGAGTCAGTATACTGTGCCTGAGTGGTGCATACATGTTAAACTGCAACATGATATCTCAGTGGGCTAGCACAAAAAAACGGCATTCCTCAAGACCAGTACAAACAGCCACACGAAACACAGACACGTACATGTATGAACGTCACTAGATTCCTGGATTCACATAGCTTAAATAGTGCTGATGATACTTTCAGATACATTCCATACTTTCATGATACATGATATATGATACACGATACCTCATTTGTGGCCGCCTCCGTGTGCGTCTAAGTGTAGAGCGTCCGCCCGGAGAGCGGAAGGTCCGGGGTTCGATCCCCGGCCGCGTCATACCAAAAGACGCTAAAAGATGGTATTTGTTGTTACCCTGTCTGGCGCTCGGCATTAAGGGGCTAAAACAAGGACTGGTCGGCTCGGAGTCAGTATACTGTGTCTGAGTGGGGTATTCATGTTAAACTGCGGCATGGTATCTCAGTGAGCTAGCACTATAAATCGGCATCAGTCCGGACTAGTACAAGCAGCCACACAAACACACACACGTACATGCACGTCGCTATATAAGTGCAATAATCTTGGACGCGACGTTAAACCTCACCTCACCTCACCTCACCTCACCTCACCTCACCTCATTTGTCAGCATACTTGACTTCAACTAGTTTACGGTATGCTATCAATATATTTAACTTCAATTAAGCCAATACCAACGCGACGCTCTTATACTTATTTTACAGTTTAGTATCTCGAATGAACAAACTCAAACATATTAACTCGATGACTGATTTTATTATATATTTCATTAATGCCTACAGTATGAATAGGTCCAGGTCAGAATAGGTCCCCAGGGTAGACTATACTGGTCGTAAGAGGCAACTGAATGGATCGGATGGTCAAATGGTTGATTGCTTGTCATCGTCCCCGGACGGCGTGTATCGTTGCTGATGATATCAATCAGTAGTTTGCCTGGTCCAGACTCGATTATTTACAGGCTGTCGTCACGCAAAATTGCTTCCTGTGGCGTTAAACAACAAACAGAAGAATAATACCTGATTTCAGATATGCGAGGTGCCTTCGCGAATAATAGTGAGTTGGGTTTAACGCCGCTTTTAACAGTATTCCAGTTATATCGCGGCGTTTCAGTTTAATGTGGGAGGAAAGCCGGAAGTGATGCAGGTCTCAGACGTTTACCACTTCGGTGAAACCCATGAGCACGGGTATGGTGCTAACAAACCTAGAAACATAATCGGGCCGAACCGGGATTCGAGCCCACAATCATAGATTTCTGGCGTGCCCAAGGGACGCAACTCTGCACAGCGAATCGCGGCGCCTTAGACGACTGGGCCACCCGTGCCCCCTCGCGAATAACTGATGTCATCACTGATTTTCAGTGATCCATTCATATAATTGTGCCTTTTACGCCCATTCGACTTTTTTTCGCGGTAATCTCCCAATTGTCAGACATCCCATTTGTCAGACAGCCCATACCAGGATTAGTCAAGGTTGGTTAGTCAATAGTAACCTGTTTACCTTTCATTAAAGTGGAACAGACCGGAAACACACATTTGTAGGAATTTACGGGATACGTTTATTATGCACTTTTAATCCTCAAATCATCCCAGAAAACACACTTTTTGAAGTATTCATTACATTATTGCAAAAGACACTATATACACAATACACACTGATCACAGTTAAGATCAAACGCAACTTATAAACACAATCATAATCTTGTTAATCTGTATCACTTAACGAGTTAGAGTAGCCTACTCTGCCCACACTTGGGAGCAGCTCATTAATTAGCAGGTAAGACCAGGCAGTTACACTGGTCACACTTGACTGGTCTGTGCGATAAATGGGATGTCTGACAATTGGGAGTGAACCTTTTTCCAAAATTGAGTCAGATTATTCTCAAGCGTGGACGTTTCATGTTATGTCTGATGTGAGAGCAAACATATAGAGAATCTCACCCGAGTGTCTTTTGATATCAAATATATCAACACGAGTTGATAAAAGTGGGAAAACTCCGAGGCTCGCCGAGGATTTTTTCCACTTTTATCAACGAGTGTTAATATACTTGATATCAAAAGACGCGAGGGTGAGATTCTATTTATCATCCAACAACATTCTTCCAACTTTTTCAGTTTGTAGACAGTAATTAGCAGTGTCTTAGTGTAAAAAGTACTGCTTACAGCTTCAGTAGCAGAGCCATTAGTGATGTCATTTGATTGTGACGTCATGGTAACCAATGACGTCACAATGGTCTGCAAAGCATTGTGATGCAATTTCATTGCAGCGATATATACAGTATAGATATCGCTTGATCTCACCCAAGCGAAATCAAACGTGGGAGCCAGTTTTGGACGATAAATTTGGTTAGTCCTATCCTTTTGCAACAATGGCTTCCTTTTAAGAGGAGGCATGGGTGTCCCAGTCGTCAGAGGCGTCGCAATTCGCTTTTCAGAGTTGCGTCCCTTAGGCACTCCGCTCCCTCCAAACCCCACCACCCACCCGCCTTCCCCTTCCCCTTCCATACTGCTCAAAGCGGCGTAAACTCAACTCACTCACTCACTCCTATTACTCCTGACTAGCCTGACAATAGCAACATATCGCCGAATGAAGTGATTGCAGCTGTTCACTACTGACATGGATTTAAATATACGCATTCGATGTTACGAATGCGAATATATTCGAACTTCAGAGAATCAGTTTTGTGTGGTGTGTATGATACTGTTCATTGAAATCATTGTAATTCTCTGATTATTTCGGTTCTTTCCACAGCGTCAAGTGATAATTCGAACAGCGAAGTTAGAAGTGAAAGGTTATCAGTAAGCGCCTTGGTGTCTGAGATCTTACGTATGGATTGCCCTTCTAAATATGCCTGGATCGTATTATCTCTATCAATGACGTGTATTGAGTGAAATAACCACACTATCTGCAAATTGATTTTTTTTTTAAATCATCATCTCTAATCATCATAGAACATCGCTTCGTGTTAGCAAATTGGAATTAAGCGTCTTTTTAATCAGCATTAAACTGCGAATCCTTTCATGTCTTTAAGGCGATAAAGTTACAATTAACTGTAGTTATTAACCAAGCTGTTCATCTATTTTCATCCCAAAACAGCCGAAGGACTAGCGATACAAGCACCGTTGTTTCGCGAACACCTGGTATCATCACTATTTGATAGTGATTCATAACACTTGCTCATGATATAGTCGGAATCGTACGGTCGACTCTGCTTATGGCAGACTTTTCTATTAAACGTAATTATTGTATTGTTTCATGATCAGGATTAGGAAGTTTGTACTAACGACGAAACTCGAACATTAATGTAGAATAACACTGTCAATACAATCATTAACGTGTTGCGTCTTACCCCAAGGCGTCGTCATCTCAGTGACTCCCTTCAATCGCATGTTTCACTAAAACATGTTAAGCCTTATTTGATGAGTGAGTGGGGATTCGAACCAGAGTCTTCGGTTTTCACGAGCGAACGCTTTAACCAGGCTTTAGGCTACTTCACACTTAATGAATCACACGTTGGTTGTTGATAACTTAATACCATATAGTTCTCTCTTTTGCCAGCTGATATAACAAAATATAAAATAATGCGCTTGGCAGCTGATATAACAAAATATAAAATAATGTGTTTGGCAGCTGATATAACAAAATATAAAATATGCGTTTGGCAGCTGATATAGCAAAATATAAAACAATGCGTTTGGCAGCTGATATAACAAAATGTAAAATAATGTGTTTGCCAGCTGATATAACAAAATATAAAATAATGCGTTTGGCAGCTGATATAGCAAAATATAAAACAATGCGTTTGGCAGCTGATATAACAAAATATAAAATAATGTGTTTGGCAGCTGATATAACAAAATATAAAATAATGTGTTTGGCAGCTGATATAACAAAATATAAAACAATGCGTTTGGCAGCTGATATAACAAAATATAAAACAATGCGTTTGGCAGCTGATATAACAAAATATAAAATAATGTGTTTGGCAGCTGATATAACAAAATATAGAATAATGTGTTTGGCAGCTGATATAACAAAATATGAAATTATGCGTTTTCCCTCTTTGTACTACCTAATGGAATTTCTCTAAGGTTTCGTCCATCCATTCATGCTTCTCTAACAGTAGCATATTGCTTCTTTATAACACCATACATGTATGTCATATTGTTCAAATGTTTTTTTCGTTGTAGATATTTTTCGTTACTGGGTGTTATTATCAGGGAATATAAAGTATTTATAACCGGAGTGTGTATATGGTACGCTTGTGAACTAGGTGTCACCGTGAACGTCAATAATTTCCATACATTATTTAATATCTTGTAATAAGCACACGTGTGTCTGAATTCAATTAGGAATGACGCTATTGCGACACGATTGTAGTTACTGATAAAACAGAAATATACGTGTTCATCATAAAACCAAAAGATAACGAAAGACAATTTAGCATTCCAACATAAAACATATTATTGTTTGCGAGTTAGATTCAGCACATGGTTGGTTTCTTGACAAACGATTATTAATTTTCCTTTCCATCATGAAAGAGACTTGATATAAAGAATGTTCATAAAGCGTTTATGTCATGACGCTCATCAAATTATAGAAAGATCACTTTGCAAGAAGGTGTTTTTGTTACAGTGTAGTATTAGTTTTTTCTTATTGATGCCACTCACATGACCAACACCTGTAAGGACATGTCTGACAGTGATTGGCAGGTGTTTTCTCAGTTTTATGTAAATTCCGTGAACATTCAAACGATAGCTGGCAGACACGGGTTGGATGTGCAGAGCGCCTTCCTTAGGCGCACCAGAAGCCTATCATAGTGGATTCGAATCCTAGTTTATGTTTCTAGGTTTGTCAGCACCATACATTTGTACCCATGGCATGGTGCCTATGTATAGAATCTGTGATCGACTGATTGTTCTCTGGCGTTGACGTTATTTTTCAACAAGTCACTTAGCATGGACAACTAAGGAGAATTCATTTCACTTGAACCCGTGAAGATCCGGGGTAGAATAAGTCTTCAGCAACCCATGCTTGCCGAAAAAGGCGACTATGCTGTCGTAAGAGGCGACTAGCGGGATCGGGTGGTCAGGCTCGCTGACTTGATTAATGCATGTCATCGTATCCCAATTGCGCAGATCGATGCTCATGATGTCAACCACTGGAATGGTCTGGTCAAGACTCGATTATTTACAGACCGTCGTCATATAGTTGGAATTTTGCTGAGTGCGGCGTTAAACAACAAACAAACAAATCATTTCAATTGAGTAAAACACAATGCGTCATTAATTAGGTTATATCAAATCAGAACTATATTGAGTTCTGGTTGACCTACACATGCGTCATCCCCATACAGATTTTACTTAAACACGTTAGACTGTTGTTTGGAATTTGTTATATATTTGAATACAATTTCAAATTCATTAAAATAGTTTATTGTTTTAACAAACTAAATATTCATATGGTTATCCCATGGCGTGAAAACGAATATGCTTCTTTACATACTATTACAGTACAACGGTTTTTGTGCGAGTAAGAGATATGTTGCAAAACTGTGGATGACGTCATTATCAAAATATATGACGTCACACAAGTGTAAATTTTTTACACATTTATCTGTTCATCAATGAACCAGCAATTATAACTACCAAAAATTACCGACTGAGCTAACCTACACATAAACTGTCGTCAGGGTGAGTTTTGTTTTAAGCCGCTTTTGTCAGTATTCTTATAATTTTTAAAGGGGACACCACAAAGTGACTTGACACATTGCAGCTATCGGGGGAATCGACCCCCGGCGTACGGTGACAGAAGCAAACGCTTAAACCACTAGGATACTACTCTACCCAAAAATACATTAGAACATATTATACTATTAAAGTATAAAATATTAAATATCATTTCGAAGTGTCACATGTGATGTCAAGGATCACGACCAGTCTGGTTGAGTGGTAGGATAGATACCATCGTTTACTCGTAATTTTCTTTATTCACAAACATTGACCTCGTCACACTTGTCTGTCTGACTGGCTCTGTACATCAAATGAATCAGATACATTAGGTTAAGGTAAGAAATATCGTTTATTATTTATAGTTTCTCATTTTATTCAACTCCTACTTGCCAATCAAGCAAATGCATACCATGTACCATATGGTACCAAATCTACCGTTATCCCCTGTTTAGATCAATTTGTAGTATACTATTCAAAAGAATTTAAAGAACACCCTATGTTTCAAATCTCATGACATGTTAACTATAGTCACAGGAAAAATCGGGTGTTCTGTGACTTCTTTTGAGTAGTATCTTGCCAGGATAATCATAAATAGAGATGTCACGTTATTTCAATCGTCCCATCAGACAAGCTCCGGGTACTGGGGTACTATTCCACCTCGGAATACACATGGTGATCTCATGAAGACCGTTTTTCTATTAGTTCACCTGACTTGAACTGGATAAGCAAGCATGTTTAATCTGTTTGAAGGATCTGTTTCAAAACTGTATGGACAGATGAGACAAGACCTGGGCCCACTTGCACAAAGCGATCTTAGCGCTAAGATGATCTTAACTCCCATACTTTAACATAGGCTTACGATAGTCTTAGATCGTTTTGTGCAAGTGGGCCCAGTTCTGTGAGGATTAATAAACTTATGGTCAGTTATAGAACCGTGATCTGGTCTTAACACTAGTAGATGGCTCTCTTGACGACACGGGATACCCGACGTCGTATACTTTAAAACGCATGACAACCCTAACGAGCGGCAACTCTAAACCAACTTCTTAAATGAAAACCTTCATTAAGTCAGGTCAGAAAGTTTACAAAATCAATCCAAGCAAGTCCATATCGGATTGCGGCGTGTTTATAGCGACTGAGTGACGAGTCGTGAAGATTGAGAACATACATCACCATGTGTGCGAGAGACCGTGTTCAGAGTTACCCACCACAAGAGGCAAGCGTTTCCTATGGGTTCATTTTTCTTTCTTTTGTAGATGTGAGTATGGCCTATCTCGTTGTTGACATTACCCCACGGCGCCAAACTAATATCTTTTGACAGTCCTATATGAGGGCCGGCATCGATTACCCTCACGACCTTTCACGATTGATGCCGTTTCTGAACTTATTTAGAATAGCCATAGCGCCATCTTGTCCAAGGGAGTGTCGTTCTGGTGGCTTTAAAGCTACTTTGGATACCGTGAATGGAAAGTTTATGACAGTTTATGTGAATTCGAAACTTTAGTAGAGATTGATATCAATAATGGTGAACATTTGATTGTGGGTGACGACAAGGAGAACGGCGGACGAAATATAACTCTTCGTTTACATACCACATAGCCCTTATATTTAAAAAATGAAATATTCATGAATTGCGCAACTGTAAACGTCATTATTGCTGGTTGTTTGAACACAATGAATAAAGATATCTGAAACTGGTTAAATAACGTTTTTCAAGCCTTTGCCAAAGTAACGTTTGATTGCGATGCCCATCGTCCATCAATACAATTTCCTTAAATACCCACTGTGAATAACAGCAACTGTCATATAAAGCTACAAACCTCCCTTTTGTCGACTCGAATATCCCTACCATTTTAACCAGCAATGTAATAAAAACCAGATTTGATCACACTGAGAAATATAACACATTACACATCTTTCGTAAAAAGCAGTCAAAATGTAAGTATTCAATTAGGACACGACCCTGTAATTTTTTTTATTATAGTCTTTCCTTACTAACAAGGATTATGTCTCATTTCGTTTATTCATAACACAATTCTTGACGTCTACAGTGTGTTCACGAAAAAAACATTCATTCACCTTCTGAATGGATGTTGTGAACACTTGTGTGTCCGATGTCTTTACAAAGAGAGATAAGTAGAATAGAGACAGAGATTCCATCACGGCACAGCATCTCATTCAGAATTAAGTACACAGGCTTAAAGCGTTCGTCAGTACATGGTCGAACTGAATGTGAAGAAAAGCAACGTGGCAACACTCATCCCATATGACAGAGACCAACACTCCTTCAAATTGATGATAAACAGACACATACTTTGTGTAAACGTACTTGTCTATCGTACAACGTTAACAGGACTCGTCAAACAAAAAGCCATCAAATGTCACTTAACTTACAAACACCAAGTACAGAGTAATCATGAAAAGTCTTACCTCCAGTATTTAAAGTATTCTTCATCTAAGGCCAATCCAGTGATCATTAATTAACTGAAATCCTGGTCCGTGAAGCGGCACGCGTGGACCAATTCATTGCCACAATCTCTGTCATCCACAAACCATCCTAGCGCTTTTCAGTTTTGCCGGCTGTGAATTCATTACAAACTCCCAACACTACTGGGCCTCGCCTGCGGTCATTGTAGTCATTTCGCTTATTACGTACAGCAAATATCTGCCCTGTCAACTCCTGTGAAGGGAGTTTTGTTACTGTTCCTGTTTCGGGGTCATAGAAAGACCACGTGTATCAGTCAATGGCTTCCTGTATTGGCCACGTTCGATGTCTGCTTGTTTGGATTACAGGCAGCTCGTGTTGTGTTAGAGAGCAGGTGTATGCCGAGTGGACGTAGCGCTGGTTCTGAAGACGGGTCTTGTTACTAAATGAGTTGTTTCCCATTGATCCACACAGCAGCAAGGTGTCTTAAATATTGAGTTTATGTAACGTAATATTTCTAAATACACAGGATTCTTCAAATGTTCTTCACTTTAGAGGCATTCTGTACAAGAAAGCATGTTGTAATCAATTTTATGTAATATTAGAACTAAAATCAATGCAACATCGCGTAACATTTACCGAAGAAATTTGTTTTACTTTATCGACATCCCACGTTTGAACAATAGGAATTATTTCAATGGAAATATATGCATAGCAAATTATTAAAATTAGTCAGACGCATAACTACATGTCACAGCGATTAGAAATTGTCTCATGTCTATGAGCAGAAATAAACCGGCACAATCTAACAATTGTTCGTACATGTAAATAATTGCAACTGCAGCAGAAGGCGCCAGGATGCAGAGCTTGATTTCCAAGTAGACATGCATGGAAGCATGATGGACACGACTATAGAAGTGATCAATATACTTATGGCCAACTGTACATGTCCTGGTATGATATTACTGACTAATGTGGCGCAACCTGCCTTTTCTCGTCGATACAACATGGTAACAATCCGCCGTCGGTACTGTTTTACGTTACACACATACGATCAATGTCCCAAGAGCTTTTTGTTATTGCTCTATCTCAAGGCAGTAGCCGTATTCTAGCCACTAACCCTTCAATCTACTTTGCGTGTCTATAGATTACCGCTGACACAACAACTCGGTGATGTATTGCCTATTGTGTGTTGCAATAATTGTGAAGAAGATGCTGGATAAAAAATGAACTCGTATGTTCGTGAGTATGATACTTTAAAAAAGTGCAAAAGAAGCAAAGATTGACATTGGTGACAGCTTTATCGGCGCATAATGAAAGTGCGTTAGCACAAAATCACTACTTGTGTCATGCAAGTTTTGTCATAAAAGTCACCGCAATGCTAATGGTAACACAAACCGAAATCAGTTAACGAGTTCCAATGGCAAAAATAATTTCATAAGACCTCGAAACACGATCAAGAGGTTCCCCATTTATGCTTCATTGCAAATATGATATAGAATGTCGGCTATACTGCCAAAAACAACCATCTGAGAATTGTTGGTCGATCAAACCCCCTTATTTGATAAGCACTTTTGCGTTGGCGCCATCACTACAAAGGGAGACGTCTTTCTGGTAGTAATGAGTTCCTATAACGCTATTACCTTACCCGCATTTGCAACAAAGATGTCTTTGTTGATCAAAAGTTGGGAACTTTAATATCATGTTGCTTTGCTTTGAAATTTGTACCACCATATATGCAATTGGCATCAGAATACATGGTATAGAAGGCTATTGCAGAAGTCGTATGAATAATAACATTTATTCGTTCCATGTTTAAACTGCTCAGTCGAGTAATTTGAGATAAACGGTATGTATTTTTCCGACTGTTTTCTTTATTATATTGATATAAATAATCAACCATGAAGAAGGATGATGATGATGATGATGATGATGATGATGATGATGATGATGATGATCTCGATCAGCGTTGAAACTGCCGAAGATTTATATTATCACGATGATAATTATTATGGTGATCGTAGCAAATGCTTCAAGCCTATTACATCTTGAATAGCCTGACAGTGTTTAAAACACAAAAGGATTAAGGCAAACATACAGTGTTGCAAAATTGAAATCACATGATGAAAAACCTTTTAATATGTGACAATGCCGTGTTCTATTAAATTAACAAGATATTTTCCTTTCAGCATCTGATTTACACAAGACGAATATTTACAACACTGAAAAAGCATGAATAGATCTAGTAAGACCCAAGGGGGTTCACATCTCAAGCTTGTTCATCCACGTGTTAAAGTGAAATTGCCTCTGGTAGCCAGGAAGGTCTCCAAAGTCTCCGAGAGTTTCAAACACGAATTTCTCTGACAAGCAATCGAAGTGGCATGATAGCTCTTGAAGGGAACCAAGTTAAACTGCTCATCTCGCACAAATTCCCAACAAGCCATTTTCCATCGGTTGAACTAACGAAGCAGTAAAGTTGTGCAAGAATTCAGAGATTCGCTATCAATATATTGAATTTAAGGCTCTCCATAAGGAATTTGATTTTGTGAAGAATGTCAGGTCTTGAACCTTGTAGCACGTGGAAACACGGATCACAGAGGGGCTAGGAAGATGTATTATAAAATAATTGTTAAAGTAGACCCTCAGGTTAGTGGTTTCAAGTGTTTACCATCTTTTAGTATTGATGGTTTTTCGTGTTTCACATCATGCCTCTGAAGAAATAGAGGCGGCGGTAGAGGAATATGGCAGGAAATACGAATAATTAGATTATTACTTTTTTCTGAAATAATGATTGCATGATTTGAAAATATGATCGTGTTAGATGCAGTTGATTAAATGTCACATTAAAATTATTTTTTTAACTTTGTAAGATAAAAGCTCAAAAATATAAATACTAACCAGTATCTCATTAGCAATAGGATATCCATGTGAGGGTAGCAATAGGATATGCATGTATTTTCGGCTTTACTGTGCCATACATGATGTAAGATACTGTATGCATCATATAGTTTATTTCCTATAACTTTCTATCAACAGGTGTCCATCTTTTGTTCCATCTCAGCTGACATTTATCAATCACTTAATCCTACCTTGCTGCAATCACCTAAAAGAATTACCCGCTGATAGCTCAGCTGTGTTCATAAACCAATTGAATTATCATTAAAAGTAGAAGCCTGAAGCACAATGATAATACACGATCCAGATACAAAAACTGTACCGATTTATTAAATAGCCAGTTTCCAATAACTCAACCTCTTAGCTAATTTCTAAGCATGACAGTACAATCAGAATCAACAATGATGTGGAACTGATGTAGTTTGCTCTTAAATTTCGCCATTGGCCAATTACATTGGTCTTATTTTAAAGACGAAACGACTCCCTTGCCGCTCGCACTGGCAGTAATAGTGCCAGGAGCCATTAACCCTGATACACCCTAGTGGCACCTCACCTGTAGCACCACATTACAGATCCGCCAATGTTACCAATGAACACATCGAAATGATTCCCTCGATATTACTGTTCAGCATTTACTGGGCTTGGTGTACTTGTGTGAACTGCCTCAACTCTCGGCAGTATGGACCGTATTCATTTAGGCGAACTCTCTTTTTCTCTCTCTCCTGTGAGGATTGCGGGTTAAAACAGGTCCCCAACACCCTATGCTAGTTTTAAGAGGCGACCAAAAGGATCGGAGGACAAGATCTGTGACGAGGCTGATTGCATGTCATTGGATCGATGTTCATGATGTCAGTCACTGGATTGTCTGGGGCAGACTTGAGTATTTACAGTTCGCTGACATATAGCTTTAATATCGCTGAGTGCGGCGTCGAAAAAAAGAAATTAAAAAATTTGCACTATTCTCATGAAACTATTCTGAAACGTCCCAGTCATCATATATGTCTTTCTATCAGTACAATGAAAGCGACCAAACCCTTTCCATAATCATAAGAATTCTCTGAAAGCAGAATGACGTACGATTACGACTTTTTTTAAAGCATGTGTTTATTAATCACTTTCAAATACCAGGTGTTTGCGAAAGATGAGTCCGACAGATGGTACCCTTCACAAACACATGCAAAGGCAAGTCAAGTGCTCACCTGGACAAACACGGGAACAAATGGTTCAAGTTTAAATAGGGAACTTAGAAGATTGGTCATCTTTGAAAATCTAAACGTTTGTTCAGATATACAAGATGCTTGTTTTACTTCCCACGACTGTGATACCCCCGATGACACTGAAGAACTGATCACTGGTACTAATATGTATAAATTATTGTTAATCCTGAATGAAAAATACAGATGTTCATAATTTTGAAATCTCTTAGGTAGACTGGTGACATTTAATGTGTTCAAAGACTGAAAGATTTTGAAACATTGGTAAATGTCTGCGCTGACATATCTGTCAAATGCCACATAAGTAGATGGAATACAACGGTTAAAATTGGATTGATTAAAGGCTTTACAGCTTCCCATATGCCGTTCCGTAGCGGTGGGGTAGTCTTGTGGTTTAAAGAGCTCGCTCGTCACGCCGAAGATCCGGGTCAGATTCCCCACATGGGTACGATTCCCCACATGAGTAGAATGTGTTAAGCCCATTTCTGGTGTCCCCCGCTGCGGTATTGCTCTTATATTCCCACAAGCGGCATAAAACCATATTATCCCACTCACTGTTCCGTAGCTGAGAATATAATGCACAAAACCTCTGTCCATTGTTCGTTAAAGTACGAGATCCTTTTTTTACCCGAATACAGTATCATATTCCCGATCAGGAAATATCCAAACAGCATGGTAAAATTTGAAGATCAAATAATCAATGTGTTGTGGCTTAAGACAGAAGTCTGTGTAGCAATGCCTTCTAATATCTGTAATATCAGTGCGAGACAATTCTCGATAAAGATTCAGTCCGATTGGCATCCAAAATATATATTTTACAATTACTGCCTGCTGGCTGAGGCCATAACTATAACAATGCTGCCTCCTTTTCATAGATCCTCACGGCAAACACAAGGGAATTGTTGCTTCCAATTAAGGTAGGTTGTCTGACGCGGCTTGTTGGACTACAACTCAACTTGCCAAAATGTCCACCATGGGTCAGATTAAATAATCGAGAGGTAATTAGGAGGTAGTAAATGTGTCTAGGATTATTCCTTAGGCGTCGCGTTAAGCAGCTGAAGCAACGAGCAGTAAGGCTGATGATCCTAGTTGATGAGATGAAGGCTGTGTACAAGTGCAGTATGTTGCTTGTGTAGTCGTAGTGATGTCATTAAGATTTCTGTTCCCAGTAGGAGATGTGTACAAGAGTGGTGTGTTTTCTGTGTAGTTGAAGTGATGTCGTCATGAATGCCGCCATCACTTACTGTAGAAGGAACAATGATGGTAGTGAACAGGTGTAGTGTTTGACTTGTATAGTTGTGGTAGTACCTCACCCGACTAGAGTTTGTGAAGAAGGGAAGATGGGTACTCTGCTGCTTGTGCAGATGAACTATCAGGACTGCTGTCACCGGTAGAATGAGTATGGTTTTATGTCGCTTTTTTGCAATATGATAGCAAATTTAAGGCGAGGTACACAAGAATGGGCTTCACTCGAAGGTTGTGTAAAAGTA